ATGTATTGTAGCTCCCACTTAGTTATTCCCGAGGAAATTAACTAGCAATCATGAAGACCTACCTCAGCTTTCATGTTTAAACCTCTGGATATTAACACTCAGAGTCAATAAATAAGGTAATGCTCTCTTCTTTTTATTAGCTAATAACACTGTCAAACTACTCACCTGCTCCTGTAGGAATAAAGAAAAACAAAACTAGAAGGAAAAAGAAAAGGAGAAAAGAACGAAGTACAGCCAAGTTATCCTGAGCGTGAAATAGGGCAAAGTATTTTATCCTAATTGGCTTCCCATCCCGTGAGCCCTTCCACTGCCCCACCATCACTCCCAGTGATATTTTTGTTTGTTTGTTTGTTTGTTTGTTGTAAATTAAAAAACTGTATGTTGTTTGGCATTACAGTATAAGTGCCTGGTTAATTCAGATCAGATGGATGTCTAGACTATGTGGTTCGTTATGGCCCATGGTAATCTTACCTACCCTAGACTATTTATATGTGGAAACAAGGGTGATCCTTTAGATGGATTTTAGCAACACACCAGTAAATTTACCCTGGAAGCTAACACCAGGTAGGCACTGTCCTCTAGAAGTAGGCCATGGAGGAGGAGGTGAAGTAACCTTATCTGCCTCCACAGAGGGCAACCAAATAGTCCAGGACAGGTCTTTAAACATTAGTGTGTCCCTAGTTGGTTGGCCAGAATTGAACCGATTCAAGGTCACGGCCCATTGAAATGAGCCGACGAACGTACCTCTGTTGCAGGCTCAATCCCTGGCATGTGGGAAGTGACCAATCAATGTGTCTCTCTCACATCAATGTTTCTCTCTTCTCCTCCTTTCTACTCTCTCTAAAAAATCAATGGAAAGATATCCTTGGATGAGGATTAATGAAAAACAAATATTAGTGTGCATCAGAATCCCCTATTGCAATTGTTAAGGGCTCCCAGACTGGAGTGGAGCCCAAGAGCTATCCTCTCTTAACAAATTTCTAGGAGATGATGATACTTCTGGTCCAGAGACCATATTTTAAGAACCACTAGTCTAGGACACAGTGTCTCATAAGTTGAGAAGCTGAAGCATTATTTAGGAAAGGTATTCAGTAAACCCAACCCCCCCAAAAAACAGAACATAAGTAGACTAAGCCATCAATAATAAAAGGTAGACAGCTAATGGTTGAATCCCAGAAATCTGCCCGGTAAGAGCAGGCCCATCACCATCAGCTGAGAAATAAAGCCTCACCCTGGGACAGAAGGCTTCAGGGCAGGGACTTGGAGCATCTTCCACCCACGAGATCTAACTCTGAGAAGCATGTGTTCCCTCTCCTCTACTGGCACCAAATCTCTGACAACCAGAACCGCCCTCCACCCCCACAGAGACACTCCTGCCCACAGGTGCTCCAGGTCTTGACAATTCCTGTATAATTAAGCAGAGTATCTGAATCACTGAACTCTAGACTCATCTGCCTACATTTAGAGCATTGTCTGCACCAATTTAATGAATCATAAAACACACTATTATTACTATAAGGCAGTGTTATTAAAACACTTTCATATTCATTTTCACTTAACTCTTAAAACAGCCCATTGAAATGAGCCGACGAACATTCTAGAGAAGGGATTCTCAGGCATCACACAACTGGCCCTCAGACCTGCCGTTCAGGGAGGCCGAGATCAGTGTCCTGATGCTAAGTCTAATATTGTTCCCATCAAACCACATTCCCTCCCTTTTAAAAAAGGACTTGAACCAACTCTACAGAACAGGAGAAATTAAATCTCTCCTGCTTCATTAAACAAAAAGTCAAATTCAACAGACCATACACAAAAGGAAGCACATTTCATCATTCCACTGAGTTATCTAACACATGGCACAGCCCATCTTCCTAAGGAAGTCCCATTTTCCTTAGGAAAAGTAGAGTTCTCTGTCATTAGGAGTGACCAAGCACGGGCTATACAACCACTCGCCAGGTACGTTAAAAAAGGATTCAAGTATCCGGTGGGATGGATATTGACTGATGCTATTGATTCTATTGAGTCTAAATTTTCTTAATTTCTCTATTAGGCTGCTCTTTAACAACAGACAGCATCCCTGTCACTCTTTCTGTAATTTTTGTGTTAAATGTTTGGGTGGGCCCTGTAATTTAAAAAGACAACGAAAATTCAGTATTTTTATTGCAGACAGTTAACATTTTCACAGTTGCCAGTTAGTTTACCTTTGACGAGTTGAAGGAACATCAGTAAGATGTTCCTTACCAAAATCCAGGTGTTAGGAATTCCAAGAATAGAACAATACTGGTACCTCAGAATCCCAGAGTGTGTATTCTTGCTCAGTGGTACCTTGACTATCTGAAAGGGTTGTCTTTAATCTTCTCTGATTAGAACTCCCTCTCCTTTTCTTTCTATTGTAAATTTAATATAAATGGCTTTCAATAAGTTTTTTTAAATAATAAAATAAATATCCTTAGGCATCAACTCTGTGATGTTTATTATAAAACTTGCACATTTTTAATGGAATCATTATTAAAAAAAAATCTGTTGATAAGCCCAAGTAAAAGTACATTGCTATTTTAAATGGAAAGCCCATCAAGGCAACATGCCACATCGACATAGGAGTTTAATGAGCTGGGTTAGACTCCAGGCACCAGTACGTCCCAACTCTGTGACTCTGGGAAAGTTTTCTCTTTGGAAAAAATGATGAAAAATGCATATAACTCACAGGAATAAAATGCAGTAGCATAGGTGCAGTCCCAGCATAATGCATAAGGCAGCAGCATTTTATAGTAATTGAGCACGAAGAAAGCTTGTGCCCAAGTCCTCCATCTGCCACTTAACAGCAATCTGATCTTGAGGAAGTTATTTAACGTCCTCACCCCTCTCTCTTCATCTTTATTCGGGGGCTGATGGTATCATCTACTTCACAGGCTTGTTGTGGTGATTAGCCGGGATAATAAATCCCCTGGCACAGGGTGCTGGGGGTGGTGGGCACTTGTACACTAGCTCCCTTACCTGGCATCCTTTCCCACGCTATGTCTGAGCTTCCTACTCACTTCTTCCTACCTTGCCATCCTACTTGGAACAGAAGAAAAAAATACATGTAAGCTAGAAGCAGAATTCCTCTTAAGGAGAGAAACCTTTTACTTTAGGCATATACACTGAAACTCTCATTAGCAATGGATAGGGGCCCTCCAATGGCCTGGTTGAGAAACAGAGTTAAACGGTTGTATATAATGAAGTAGGAGGAGTGTGGGACTTCTGGAGGCACAGAGGTAAGTCAGCCTGTTTGGAACTTTTTAATGGTGGCCAAGGCAGCCCTAAGAATCAGAATGACTAGTATATTCCACGAGCAGTCTGCTGGGCTCAGGCTGTGATATAAGCCCTCTTGTTAACCATAACACTGCAGTAACAGTCTAGGACACATAGTTTACCTTGAGTGTGTGGTTTTACAGGTGGGGGATATTAACAAAAATGAATGCTATTCCATGTTTAGATTCAATGCATAATAAGTGAATAGCTGAATAAAGTGAGATGAGGAGCTGATCATTCAGTACAATCAGAACATCATATCAAATGGTCATTGAAAGCCATCAAAAGTCCCCCAAGGATAAAAGGACATGTGGGTAGGGGCACTGGATGTATTACTGTAAATAGAGGGGGACTCTTGGTTTGAATATTAAATGAGAGGTGACCAATAGGGCTTCATTGAAAATTTGGGCTCCTACCTCTTTTGCACCATCAAGACTGCTGACATCTTAATAATACCATTTTCTCCCTTTTCATCACTGGCTTTCCATTGAACATACATTTATCACATGATTCTTACTGGATAAAGTGAAATACTTGATATCACATCAAAGTTAGAACTTTGATGTTTATAGACTCCTAAAATCTTGAAACTAAAAGACCTTCTGGGGATAACCTAGTTCAAGCCTATTAACAGCTAGGAAACCAGCCATGACAATGCCTTGTCCAGTTTTCATGGCAGGTTTCCAGCAGTACGTGGACAAGGACAACCATTCCCTTCCTCTTCATAGGGTAGCTGTTTTAAATCAGAAAAGGAATAAAAATAAGCCTAAGTAGGAAAGATGGCTCACAAAAATAGGGAACTATTACTAGTTGTCTGTACATGTTGAGTTGAGACCTTAGTTCATCTATTTCAGTAATGGATAATCTCTTTATTTCAACTATGCCAATCAACAATATCAATATATCATTATATCACATAACTTTCTAATATACCATCAGAATAAAATACCATGTTAAAACTCATTTTTGATATATGAAAGTGAAATTAAGTATGAAAACATGCCCATTTGATCATCAGAGCTTCTAAAGTTTTCCTTTGCTCTCCTATGCTTGAGCTGATTTTAGAAAATCCAATACTATTACAAAAGATGAGATTTTAAGTAATGTTTTATTGTTGTCTAATTATTGAATAAGTGATTAAACTCATTCTCACTGAATTCATGAAATAAAAATCAACTAAACATTTTAATTAACTCAATCTAGAGAACTGAAACCTATGATTTCCTTTAAATGGCTAAATAATAGTCATAGTTCTATAACAATTCAATGTGTTTATAAGTAATAATTTCACTTTTAAGATATACAAAAAGATGAGCTATTGTATAGAAATGGAAGTTAATAGAGCCTGTTTTAGGAGTATAAGTATTGTTCTTTTATAATAGTTATAGTGTAAGCCTAATTAGATTCAAGAGAGAATTTGACTTTGTCAACTATAAGATTTTATCAGAAAAAAAAATTACAAAGACTATTGTATCTTTGGATATTGGAGGAGGGGTGAAGTCTGGAGATGAGTTCCTGAGGTGCTGTCACCAGGCACTTGGGGAATGGAACATTAATACATGAAGCAGCTCTACAGGAGTATCAGCGAGGCCCCTAGCTGTTAGGGGTGCACTTTCAACTCCCCGAGGATGTCAGAATTCAAAAAACATCAAAGATAAAAGAGCTTCTTTGGTCCATTATACAATACCCAGCCTTCTCCTATTTCACCTTTAAGAATTTTCTATAATTCCAAAGTTATAGAGTAAACACACTGCCAGCTTTAAAGAAGCAGCACTTTTCAGAGCTCCATTCACTTTAATTAAGGAGTCTACTTTAAGGCAGATCATATTATCCTTAAAAGGCAGGGATGGAGAGACATGTTTAGAAGTTCTGCTTAGAAGCATAGTGGATGAAACACAAACAAGGAGTTGAGACCTAGTTTCTTGGTCTGACTCAGACCTCTCCCATGTGACCTGGGACAACTCACTGGAAGTTTCACTGCCATCTGCCGAGTGGGTTTCTTTTTTGTCAACTCTAAAGAATAGAACTGATGACTCACACCTGAGGAAATACATATTTCTTAAACAAGCCATTGGAAAACATTAATTCTCTAATTAATGAAAAATACTGAAACAATTTGAAAACCAAGCTCATAGATACAAAGGACAGATTGATGACTGCCAGAGGTGGGGGTAGAGAGTGAAGGGTGCAAGAAATGGATAACCTTTTTATTTTAGGTTAAAAGTTTGAATAAAAATTTTTTAAATACAATTTAAGTCAAACTTCAGAGAACGCGAATATTTGCAAATGAATTTCTTTAAATAACAGCACTTTTAAGAAGTAACAATAAAATTAGATCCATTCACTCATGTAATAAGCTGCTTGCAGTTAGCTATTATCCTTATTCACATCTAAATCTTCAATGCCCCATATATAGTAGGGGTTCAGTAAATACTTAACTGACTATCCATTGGTGGTCTTGAAAATTGTTACTTGGGAATCAATATGGTTATATGGAACAGCTCTCATATGAAGCTGAACGATGAAGAATAAGGGGAAGTGACATTTGTTCCAATTTGTCCTAACTCATCTTCACAGGCAAAAAATAAAATAAAAAAAGTAATCTTAACCAGGCAGAGGAAAAATAAGAGAGGCCTATTTTTATAGAGAATAGTTGGCCAGAAGGTAGCAGTACCAAGCACCATTGTAATTTCCCAATCTGAAATCTAAGGCAAAATACTATCACTGTCCAGGCGCCCTCCATTGGGAAATGGGCAAAGGTAGTGGCTCCCTTTGGACTAAGGGTTGGTTGTAAACTTCAGTTGATTATTCAAAAGGGCCAAAGATTCAAATCATTTTAATGCACAGAGTTACCCACCTTATGGCATGTCCTTTGGTGTGCCCATTCCCAATCAGAAGCAGGACCCACTCCTCTGGCCCATCATTACACACCTGATAGCGTGCACACTTCTAATTACTCCTACAACTACCTCATTTGAATCACAGATCTAAGTCTTATTGTTTCCATTGCTTTTCTTGCTTGGAAATACAAATTCAGTAACACTAGGAACCGAAGCATTGTGAGTCAGCATACATTGATGCAGAGGCTGTCACTTTTGTTTTCTGTGTCAGAGCTCACCATTCCTAAAGATACCCACGCTTGCTCTCCTTTCCTCACCTCCCCAAGTGCGATGATAAGCCCAGGGGGGACTTGGAGGCTGTAGAGGATGTCATGAGGCTCCCCTTAAATTTTCACCCTGTAATTCCACTTCCTACCAGTTTTGATGGGAGGAAACCATTCAGGAGACATGAAATGTCAACAACAGTATTGTACAGGGTGGTGGTTCCTGGATGTTGATGGGGATGAAAAGGTGATACCTGAGTTGCTGGTTTGCAAATGAGAGGGTGTTGGGACCATGGTCTAATACAGTGGAGGGACTAAACTCATTAGTCATTAGAGCCAAATATCAACAGTACAACGATTGAAATTCCTTTTGAGAGCCAAATTTTTTAAACTTAAACTTTTTCTAATGCCACTTTTTTAAAATAGACTCACCCAGGCCATAGGATTTTGTGGAAGAGCCACACTCAAGGGGCCAAAGAGCTGCATGTGGCTCGAGAGCCGCAGTTAGCCGACCACAGGTCTAATACACGTCACCTCCACAGAATGCATGAGTGGGCTCGGAGGAGCAGGGCCAGGGACGTGCTGTGCAGTGGGAGAGAGCCTCTCATGCTCCCATAATTCAGGTGAGTTCATACTTTCATAATTATTAAAAGCAAACAAAAATGACACTTTAAAGTTTTGTTTTCTAAACCAGAGCTCTCAACACCTATATTCTAGTCCCACCTTGCAGGCCAAATCCAGCCCTGGCCTGTTTTTGTACAGGTTTTATTTGTAAAAATCTATTTAAAAAAACACATATGCAACAGAGACCATATGTGGACTGCAAAGCCTAAAACATCTGCTATCTGGCCCTTTACAGAAAATGTTGATGAGCCCTGATTTAACCAGTCATTATCCTTTACTGATGGAACTTCAGAATACTAAGGAATAGAGTTATTCAACCTCCCTTCACGGGATTCTCACTGGAAGTAATATGTTTCAGTCTGGGTTTTCTGGCTGAACGTTGTCTTCTTCTACACTGCCTTCAAAAACTTCCCCAGACACTGCTCCCAGCAACATGCAGCTCTTTCTACTTCTATATTTTTTTTTTATACTTGTCAGCTGTGAACTCAAAATTTATTCAGTCAATCTTCTTAAAATTGGGCTCTGGGTGAGGCTAAAACGCTCTGTGCCTCAACATTTTCCTACCTCAGATTTGTCTTTATTTTTTAAGCCAAGTTAAAGCCTGACATCTAGATGTTACCCACAGGTAACTCCGGCAGATACAGTTCATACACATAAACCTAGATTCATTTTTAACTTAGGCTTGCATTTTTTCTCTTTTGCCTGCCTATAGGTTTTTAAATGGTTTTTTTTTTCCCTCTCCCCTCTTAAATAGCTTAGTCCATACTGACCTAATAAAGTCTTCTGCTCTTCAGAAAAATCACTTTCTATCACTCTCAGTTTTGAGGCTTCCCAACTTCAGAATTTCAGTGGATTGGATTACCATTTAGTTTTGCTGCAATATTTGCTAAAGAAAAAAAATTAATGTTAGAGTAATAATATTGTTAAATGGATTCTCTCTCATATCTATTTCTCTCCAATATAAAAATCAGCTCTCTCAGGTTATTTGCTTTAAAATACAGATCAAAAGTACTGTGAGAAGTCAGAGGTTTTCCTACCAGTGTTGGTAAAAAAAAAACAGCTGCACACAGTGGCACACTGGGAGGCTTAAGGAAATAGGGCTGTTGACCAGGCGATGAGGTGAAGAGCAGTTTAGGAGAGCGAATGAGCCTTTGGGGCAGATATTTCTGCCTTGGATCCCTTGTACCCTTAGTTCCCTGATATCACACTTGATTCTCTCTCTGCACATGTAGTTTGGGCTGATGCTATCAGAGCAGAAGAATTAAGGTGGCAGGTCTGAGACCTCTGTCCTTAGAAAGGTTTGTGTGCAAGGTTGGCCCTTGGCTGGCACCTGGGAACTTAGATTTCAGGAAGGTTCCCACCATGCCCTCGCTGAAAATAGGGGGAACCTGTGCCCAAACTGTACAATGTGGCTTACATTAAAATACCTGCTTTCCTTCTAGGAGTCTGGAATTTTGGTAGATGCTCTGGAGAAGCCCATGTGACCAAGCTCCCTCTTAAAGCCTTGGACGCTGAGTCTTGGTAGACGTGTCATACCTACTGCCACAGTTTGATGCTAGAAGCAAGCAGTTCCTCTGTAACTCCATGGGGAGAGAACTCTCAAAGCTTCTATCTGATCTCCTCTGGACTTGCACCCCATGACGTCTTTTCCCTTTTCTGATTTTAGTTTGTGTTGTTTACCTTAATTATTGTGTTAAGTAGGACTATATGCTGAGTCCTCTGAGTCCTCCCAGCCAACCACCCAAACTGGGGGAAGTCTTGGGGCTGGCCAACACTTCATCCTTAGCTACATACAATGGTCAGTCAGTACATCCAACATCTCTGGCTGCAGTAATGGGCTCAGGGATTGGCTTTTAACCCAGCACAGCCAGTGAAACCAGGTGAGAACTTCACTGGGCTTCTGAGAGAATCCAGTGCTCTCCTTCTGCAGGTGACTTGGGATGGGACTGTGACGCTATACCTGATGGCTGCCTTCTTGTAACCACAACAGGAATAACCTGGAGCTTCCAGGAGTACCATGTGGAGCTGGCGGACAGAGCAGGCAGAGATGGCAAAGAATTGCACCTACATAACACTGAATTGCTTGGTCAAGCCCCTCCAAAGCCAGTCCTACTCTTCAGTTATGTGCATAAATTCTGTTATGCCTATTTGAACTGGTTTTATTACTTCCAACTGAAAGAATACCAACTGATGCAACCATCAACCATGTTAATAGGTTGACAGTAAGGTGACCATCACAGATTTCTCAATGGAGAAGCCACATGTTCAAAGGCCCCTCTGATGGGTGATGAGGGTGAGCAGTAAAAGACTGGAAAGCTTTTAAAATGAGCTGTCACATATAAGAGCACACTTGGGTAGTGGTATCAGAGAATAAAATCCGTAAATATTCAGGAAGTAGAAAAGACAAAAGCTGGTGGTGGATTAAATATGGGGTATGAGGAAGAGAGAAGTAAAAAAATGACTGGTTTCTTCATTTAGGCAAAAAGTGATGCTTTTAGCTAAGACAAAAACAGAAAAAGACACAGATTTAGGAGTAAAGAGGAAGATCACATTTACTTTGGACATTTGTCTGCAGTAACTATGACAGCAATCTAGTAATGATTTGAAACTGTTGGAAGGAACTGTGAAATTATGGAAAAATCAAAGCTAAAGATATAGATTGGGAGTTATGAACACTTAGTAATGGATGAAGATATGAGTAGATTGAATGATCCAGGAAGAAAATGTCTCCTGAAAAGAGGAGGCTGAAACCTTGATCAAAAATCATGAAAAAATAGGTAGACAGAGAAAATTACAAGAGACAAGAGTGATTAACTCACAAACTCATTAAGAACTTAATATATTTCCCATTAGAAGATAGAAGGAAAGTAACAAATTAAGGAGGATGGTGAATTCAATAATATTAGCTATTATATTAAGGAGCAGGAGGGCCAATAACAAAGCTGCTGCTAAATCTAGATACCAGTGTCTCTCTGACCTTTAAAGATTAACAGAGAGGTTAGTAGAATAATTAAAACGTTGCTTTCTTGCCCTGCCAATGTGCTCAGTGGTTAGAGTGTTGACCCACTCACTGAAAGGTTGCAGGTTTGATTCCCAATCAAGGGCATGTACCTGGGTTGCAGGTTTGATCCTTAGACCTGGGTTGGGGTGTGTGTGGGAGGCAACCAATCAGTATGTCTCTTTCACATTGATCTCTCCCTCTCTCCCTCTCTCTCTCTCTCTCTCTCTCTCTCTCTCTCTCTCTCTCTCTCTCTCTCATCCCCCCCACCTTTCTCCCTCCCTTCCACTTTCTCTAAAAATCAATGGGAAAATATCCTTATGTGAGGATTATCAACAACAAAACAAATCACTTTCTTAACATGTCTTAAGCAACACATTCATTAATGTGTGGTGGCATCTGACTAATCTTAATATGCTTTTTCTATTTAGAAGGACATTAAGCTTTTCCAAGCTCAACAGGGATAATAACTATTATAAAAGACCACCATTAAAATACTGCCATTGTTTGTGCTTTTTTAATTTAGTTGGCATAACAATGGATCACTGTGAATTAAAGTTAATTTTAAGACACCATACAAAGTTCAAAAGACCAAGGCATAATTGCCAAATATGTAACTTTTCTTCTATGCCTTCTATATATTGTGCTCATTCATTAAATCAACAATAATACATTGAGGTCCTGTAGTATGTTCCAGCATTGTGCTAAACACTAAGATTCTAAATTTCTGAGACCTTCTCTCTTGATCCCTGAACGCTGATTCCCTCAATCTTATTCCCTGAAGCAAAGCACTGTGCTGAGGGCTCCCAGAATCCCTATTCAGGGCTGAAAACATATCCCCTCAGCTGCAGGGAAGATAATCAACTGACTATAAGCACAATCCAGGAACTGTTCTGCTGCTTTGCTCCACAGGGCAGGTTATAACCAATGACTAGTTAGCTCAGGACAAGTCTGAAGGCCATCCCAGCTTCTGAGCCCCTTAAAGGATCTGCTGAAGCACAAGCACCAAGCATAACTTCTCCCTCTGCCTAGCCCTGCTTCCTCTGTTTACCCCTACCACCTTCTCTATGCACTGATCCAAAGCACACTTCTAAATAAACTTCCTGCCCCTAAATCTTCATCTCAGTCCGCTCCCTGGAGAACTCACCCACCCACACATACCTTGCTCAGCTGTGCTCCATGACTGAAACGTAGCCTCTTCCTGGCCTGAGCACCCATCCACTTTCTCTTACCTTTGCAGCCACACCATCAGAAAGCATTTTCTCAGCATCCATCATCTGAGCTAAAGGTTGGGGAAATATTGTTTGGCAGTACTTGCTAGTGAACATCTTACAATTTAACAAATAAGGAAGAAAGCAATATATTTGGTAGACTTACAAGCATTAGATGAAAGGAAAGACTTTCCAGCTAAAGGAGGAGAGGAAGAAAGAAAAGAACTTTTGAGAACACAAAAGAACTTTTTCTTGCCTTAAAGAAGAATACTATCTACTATAACAAAGTATGAAAAATGAGTATATGTATAAAGATTCATATTAAAACCAGGGCTTCAATAAATTACAGAACAGAAAGTAACAAAAAGTGCAAAAGGCATCAATGTGGCCTTTACTCATTTAATTTTCTTTTCAACGTATAAAGCTATTAACAATTCTAAGGATCCTAGACTTTAATGAAAATTTTTTATTATTAAGATAAGATCTAGGAAGGATAATTATGTGCTATTTTACAGTCCCTTGTAAAAATAATGATAACATGAAAAATTAGTAGAAAATGAAAATCTGAAAAGTTATCTGAAATCTGAAAATGTTAAGCAATTTCTTCTTAGTTTTGATCACTTTTGCTGAATCAGTTTTGTGTATTAGGGTGAAGAGAGTTTTCTTCTACTTTTGTTAACAGTGGAGCATATCCTTCAGAGCTTGGCATAATTTTTAAAAATTGTCTGAAGCTTCATGCTCAGCATGATGTTCCCTTTGGCCTTCAGTTTGCCACTGAAGAATGCCTGCAAAGAAGAGGGAAAAGAGTGGCAAACTTTATCACGTTATATTTTATCTGTATTTTTAAAAGATCTTTTTTTTTTAAAGTCATTGTTGAGACTGAATACAATTGAGTTAACTCTTGGCAACAAAGGCAACTTTTATCTAGCAATGATAGTTTAATGATTATAGTTTTAGACAGCTAAGAAAAAAAAAATAAACTCCTGTGTATTTTAGAAAACCACGGACTAATTTATTTGAACTGACAGATCTGAGAGTTCTGCTTCAAACTATGCTTTTAGCTTTAATCTATACTCTTAAACATGAATTTGTGAATATGTAAATAAAAAAGACTTTATTGTGTTCCTAACAATTAAAATATTAAATTCAGGACCTTTAAAAGCAGATTAAAAATATGTATTATGTCTTCATGAACTACAAAGCCACATAATGATAAAAGAAGGTAGAGAACAATGTTAGTGAGTAGATCCTGGGCTCTAGCATTAAAATGCCTCGGTTAAAATCTAGGCTCTGCCACTTACTAGAAACCTGAGCTTGTGCAGATTCCATAAACTCTCTGATCTCCAGCATTTCTCTAAGGATTATCATTAAGAATAAACTGAAGCCGAAGCCAGTTTGGCTCAGTGGTAGAGCGTCGGTCTGCGGACTGAAAGGTCCCAAGTTCGATTCCGGTCAAGGGCATGTACATTGGTTGCAGGCACATCCCCAGTAGGGAGTGTGCAAGAGGCAGCTGATCGATGATTTTCTCCCATTGATGTTTCTAACTCTCTATCCCTCTCTCTTCCTCTCTGTAAAAAAAAAACTCAATAAAATATATATATAAAAAAATAAGAAATACCTAGGTTTTCATCAAGTTTTTGCTTCTGCTTTTATTTTTTACACAATTCCATTCAGTATGGTATTGACTTAGATATATGGAATAGCATAAAGCACTACCATTTCCTAAGCAGCTGCTTAGTATCATTCAATGAATAATCCATTTCCCCCAAAAGGCCTGTTATTCCTAGCAATTATATAAATGTTTCCTTAATCCTACATTTAATCTTTATATATACAAACATCTCAAGTATAATATATCTAAAAAGGAACTCTTAATTATCTATTCTCTCCCCCAAAGGCAATTTCCACTCAGCAGGTGCTGTCATTCCACAGCTCAGTGGCTTCCATTCACACATAAAACCTGAACTCCTTACCAAGCTCTATAGAGTCCTGTGTGATCCAACCTTGGCTTATTCTTCCATCTCACATCCTCCCACTATCCCCACTGCTCATTTACCATCTCTGGCCTCCTCACAGTTATATACACTTAATATGTAATCCTACTCCTGCCTCAAGCCTGTGCACTCATTGTTTCCTTAACCTTACAGCTCAGCCCTCACTTTGTTCAGGCTGTTTTGGACAACCTTATCTAAAATAGTTCCTCTGTCCTGACACTTTGTAATCCAGGGTTGACAAACCAGAGTCTGTGGGCCAATACTACTCTGCTGTCTGTTTTGTAAGTAAAGTTACACTGGAACACAGCAACATCCATTTGTTCACATATGGTCTATGGCTATGTTAATGCTACAATGGCAGAACTGAGTGGGTAAAACAGAGACCATCTGGCCTGCAAAGCCTAAAATATTTACAATGGGACCCTACACAGAAAGTTTGCCAACCATCACCCTAATCCATTACCCTGACTTAATTTTCTTCATACCAGAAATTATATTTCTTTTCCACTCACCTCTAGAACTAAGCTACGCACAATTGGGGCACTATCTATCTAACCACCCTTAGAACCCAAATATGAGTAGGTACTACATAAATTCCTGGGAAGGAATAATCTGAGAACTCATTCAGTACCAAGTACTTACTAAGCTCCTCACATAAACTATTGGATTTGTTATCATCACAATGCTTTGGGATTATAATCATTCATTTTACCAATAAGGAAACTGAAGTTTAAGAGTAAGTGGCAGGGCTAAGATTTAAACTCAAATATATCTGATGACAAAGAACATACTTTACTATACTACCTGACAATTCTTTTCAAATTATTTTACAATTATTTTTAAATTAGTCTTTCTATCCAGGAAAAAAAAATTATCCATTTATTCAAATTGCTCTGTTTTTTATAAGGTTCTATAATTTTATTCAAATAAGCACTGCACTTTTCTTATTAGGGGGGTCATTCGTGTTTTTTAGTTTAGATTGTAATTATAAACTAATTTTTAAAATTATATCTTCTAGCTGGTTTTGCTGCTATGTGAAAACTATTTTAAATAGTTATTGTGCATTTAACCACTTCTTTGAACTCCTCTATTCTAAGATCCAACTAGTTGACTCTCTTGTTTTAGCTACATAATCCTGATTTGAAAATAACAAATTTTTCTATTCTACTCCATTCTAACTGCTACATTAGTTACTTTAATTTTGTATATTTGTAAATTGGGCCAAAAGTTTCAAAACAATACTAACTCATCATAGTCAGAAATGGCACTCTTGTCTTAATCATGATTTTCCACTATAATGTCTGACTCTAAATGTTTCACCTTCAATAAGACACTAGTGCCCAGCCAGTGTGGCTCAGTGGTTGGGCATTGGCCCATGAACCAGGAGGTCATAGCTCAATTCCCAGTCAGGGCACATGCCTGGGTTGCAGGCTTGGTTCCCAGTAGAGGGTGTGCAGGAGGCAGCCAATCAATGATTCTATCTCACAGATGTTTCTGTTTCTCTATCCTTTTCCCTTCCTTTCTTTAAAATCAATAAAAATATATATTAAAAAAATAAGACACTAGCTGTTACACTCTATCCTTCTTCTTATAATTTTCAAATTCTTAATCATATATCAGGAATGAATGTCTAATTTTGTGAAATACCTAATACCCTAGGGTTTTTCACCTTTGAATTAATGACCTAATATAATACAAAGAGTAGATGTGGGTTTTATATTGTGGATATGCTAAAGAATTCCACCAAAAGTTCAGTTTTAAAATGTGTCAGTTGAAACTCTACCAGAAAAATTCATGATCTGTCAACTCAGATATTGGTATCAACTGTGTCTTCTTCAGAGTTCTATGACTCTGCCTTATAAATCAGAATTTGGCAGTCAGCTAAAAACTGCAATTGTCAAACAGAAAGCAATAATAAAGAGAAAAAAGAACATTTTATGAATATTACCTTTTGAGGGTCAAGCTTGCCCAGGACTACATCAATGAAATCATCATCTGAAAGTGTGATTGTTACATCAGCAGAGCCTTTTGCAGGGCCTTGATATACTTTTCCAGTACCATTTTTTAGGTCAACAGCTAGGGAAAATAGTAAAAAAAACAATGTGGGTCATATTTTCTTCACAACATAGAGTAAAATAAACCAACTAAAATACAGACATTTTTACAGTTTCCAAGTTAATGTGCTGCCTATTTATTCTAAATTAGATATCACTTGCCATTTGGGAAAAAAAAAATGTTTTTAATCCTTTATTTTTTGAGGTGGCCTATAAAGAAGTTCTCCAAAAACTCAAAACAGTATTTTTCCTCAGTGAAGAAGTTTACACAACAGAAACATTTTAATGTGGAATAATATAAGGAAATTAAGTTGGTAAAGTTTATATGGTTAGTGTCTTTAAGTTCACATACTCAACAAAGGAGGAAGCTGAATTTTAAAAGAATTGAATGTTGGGGGAAGGAATAAATACTATAATCTCCTTTCAAATACCTGAATTCATCAAGATAGTCAACATAAATGTTTTACAAATATTCTAATTACTTTTGTTTTGCTTTTATAAAATGTTTATTGCCTTAATTATGAGTAAACATTAAAATTTACTCCTTTTCCATTAACTGTTTTTGACAGAAGAATTAAGTGCCCCAAGCTGGGTAACTAAAAAAACTGTTAAACCTTTACCTTCATTGCTCCCTATAACATGTATAGAGCTTCATGCCATAGTTCCACTTGAGAAAGTTTTAATTATCATATATATGAGTGATACCAGCCAGCCAGCAACCGGATTCTACTCCAACTTCAGCCTCCTGAAGGTGATTTCTCTTGCTGCAGTGACAGAGCTGCAGTCACATCACTCTCCCTAAGGTGTATAGGGCACTCCCAATTTAGGGTCAAGGAAACACTACACATAGGTAAGAAAAATCCACAGTGCTTAACAATATTCTGCTTAGCCAAGCTTTGCACCAAAGAGAAAATCAAATCACTCTAACTTTCCACAAAAGAGAACACTACCAACTAAACTAAAAATATAATTTGATAGTAATGGTTACCTTGGGGAAGGGGAAGGACGAAGGAAAGGGAACCTTTCTGCTTTGTATACTTCACTCACTCACTTCATTGCTTCTACTGTGGGTGTCAGACAATAGGCAAGGTACTGCAAGTAAGGCATGAAAAGTACAGACTGTTCTTATTGAAACTTACATATTATGAATGTGTTTTCATGTATTATTTGTACGAAAGGGATGAAAAGAAGGAAGAAGACAGAAAGGGAGGAGGGAGAATGAAGAGGGGAGAAAGGAAGGACTCTAAAGGGAAGCAAACCTCTAGCATTCAAAGACAACATTCATGGTTTAATTGTTCACTAGTATTTCTAAGGCCCACTGTACATACTAGTCTTGCTCAGGAATAAAACTGTACCACACTCATCTCACTACTAGGGAGTGGTAGCAAGCCTCTGGGCTAATGGAGGTTCTTAGCTATCAGCCTGCCCTTTCACTCCCCTGGTTTTATGTGCTACTTCACAGCCATGACCCTTGTAAAGCAATAAAACTGTCTTCAGTGGAAATCTAGAAATTAATATTGATGAAATAAAAGAGTGCTAAGATGGGGGAAATTCTTAGCAAGATACACAAAGATGAGGTAAAGGAGTGAGACTTTCAGTTCTGCAGTGGCTCAGATCACAGTCTACAACTTGCCTCTTGGGGAGAATCATCATCTACCACCATCACTTTGAGTTTACAGACACCTGTTACATAACAGCTAATCTTAAGTTAAAATGAAGAAGTAGATTGTGTATATTTTATTTTAATTGTACAATTTATTTTAAAAGCTTTATAAACTGACTTTAGCTTTGTATTTATATAGTCATTATGGCTCTAAGAGACTCCATAAAAAAGTTCAGTTATACATTGCAGCATTTAACGGGGGAGGGAGAGGTGCTAGATGAGCACACAGCATTTGGGAACTTGGAGATCTTCGAAGGTCTTAGGATATGGACCTTACATATCCCAAAGGGATACTCTGGGAGAAAGAAGTTGTCTTATGGATACCTTCTCCCCTTAAGATTATAAATTCTTTATGCTTCCTTGAATAGAAAGTACTTAGTAACTATTTGTTGAATGGCTGATTAAAAAGCACATGGAAGAAGCATCTCTATAAAAATAATAACAACAAAAACTTAGGATAAAAGTAAAGATTTTTTTTTAATCACACTAAGAAGGACACAACACTTTTGTACTATTCCTGCTAAAAGTTAATATTCTAATAATCATGAAGAAACATCAAATAAATATAAACTGAGGAACATTCTACACCATAAGTGGCCTCTACTCTTCAAATATGTCAATGTCCTAGGAAATAAAAACAGACTGAGGAATTCGTCCAGGTTAACGGAGACTAGAGACCTGACAACTAAATGCAATATATGATCTGACATTGGACTCGAGCAGTTCTTACTTTTGCTTTCTTCATTTCTATTTTGTTATTGTTATTACTACTGTTATTCCTTTGCTATAAAGGAAATTACTGAGGAAATTTGTGAAATATTAATAAGGTCTGTAGATTAAATAATACTATATCAATATTAATTTCCTGATATTGATAATTATCCTATGCATACATATAAAAAAGTGTTCTTAGCAGATGCTATCACATTATTCAGGAATAAAGAGACAATGTGTCTGCAGGTTACTCTCAAATGCTTAAAAAAAAACACAATAATATGTATAATAGATAAGAAAATAGAATAAAATGTTAATTTGAAGAAATTGGGTGAAGGACAGATATACATTCTCTGCACTATTCCTACAATTTTTCTATAAGCCTGAAATTATTTCAAAATAAAATAACTATAAAAAGATATTATTAAAATGAATAACACACAGAGAAAAATAAAAATTCATAATAGTTTTAAGTAATCTGTGTGTAAATGCACGAGGGCAAACAGTAAGGGGCTGTGATGGTAAGAGGGGAAGCAGCCACTGTTGCTAAGGGAAAGAATAATATGAAGCAGATGCCTCTCAAACAAAGAGGTCCCTACCCCAGACTGAACAGCAACTGCTTTCCAAAGGTCATATTTCAAATCTTGTCTATAAATACATGAGATTGTCATTTGGATCCCATCCCTAAATATGGGACCAACACCCTTAAGATTTCATTTATATCCATGCTGAGAAACCCTACAGGGGTTTCTGCTTGGACCACTACATCATGAGCAGCAACCCAAGAGCTAATGATATCCTCAAGCATGAAAGTATTCTGATCTTAAAAGAATGGTAGTTGTCCAAACTGTACATATTCTACCACATTTTGGCAATTTCCAAGATCCAAAACAGATGATTTCTAACATGTAAAATAAAACACCTCTAACATCCATTCATTGGGACAACCTCAAGTTTTCTAACATCCAAATTATGGGAGTGCCAGAAGAAGAGAGAGAGCAAGATACTAAAAACCTATTTGAAGAAATAATGACAGAAAACTTCCCCCACCTGGTAAAAGACTTACAAGCACACAGATCCCCAAACAAAAGGAATCCAAAGAGGACCACACTAAGACACATCATAATTAAAATGCCAAAAGCAAAAGACAAAGAGAGAATATTAAACGCAGCAAGAGAAAAACAGTTACCTACAAGGGAGCACCCATACAACTGTCAGCTGATTTCTCAACAGAAACTATGCAGGCCAGACAGAAGTGGCTGGCAAGAAATAGTCAAAGTGATGGATAGCAAGAACCTACAACCAAGATTACTCTACCCAGCAAAGCTATCATTCAGAATTGAAGGTCAGAAAAAGAGCTTCACAGATAAGTAAAAGCTAAAGGAGTTCATCACCACCAAACCAGTATTATTGATATATGAAATGCTGAAAGGTATTCTTTAAGAAGAGGAAGAAGAAAAAGATAAAGATAAAAAATTATGATTAACAAATACATATCTATCAACAAGTGAATCTACAAATCAAGTGAATAAAAAAACTTGATGAAAGAAATAAACTGGTGGATATAATAGAATCAGGGGCATAGAAAGTGACTGACAATTCTTGGGGGGAAAGGGGTGTGGGGAGTGTGGGAAGAAACTGGACAAAAATCATGCACCTAGATGAGGACAGTGGCAGGGGTAAGAACAGAGGGTGGGGTGGGAACCGGGTAGAGGGGAGCTATGGGGAGGGGAGGGGGGAGAGGAACAATTGTAATAATCTGAACAATATTTATTAAATAAATAAATAAAAATTGTTGTCAAATTCTAAGATGCTCACTTTATTTAGAGAAACATGTAAATAATGGAGCCATCCTATCTAATAAAAGAGTAATATGCAAATTGACCATCACTCCAACATAAAAGATGGCCACCCCCATATGGTCAAAGATGTCTGCCAAAGATGGCCAGCAGAGGAGGGCAGTTGGGGATGATCAGGACTGAAGGGGAGGACAGTGGAGGGGTGGGGGTGGGGGGGGACCCAGGCCTGCAGAGGAGGGCAGTTGGTAGGAACCAGGCTGCAGTGGAGGGCAGTTAGGGGTGACCGGGCTGTCAGAGGATGGCAGTTTGAGGCAACCAGGCCTGCAGGGGAGGGCAGTTGGGGGGGACAAGGCCAGCAGGGGAGGGCAATTGGGGTGACCAGGCTGGCAGGGGAGGGCAGTTAGGGATGACCAGGCTGGCAAGGGAGGGCAGTTATGGGCAATCAGGCAGGCAGGGAGTGTTTAGGGGGTGATCAGGCTAGCAGGCAGAAGCAGTTAGGGGCAATCAGGCAGGCAGGCGAGCAGTTGGGAGCCAGCAGTCCTGGATTGTGAGAGGGATGTCCGACTGCCTGCTAAACAGACAGTCGGACATCCCTCTAGGGGTCACAGATTCCAGAGGGAGCAGGCTGGGCTGAGGGTCACATTCCCCCCCACCCCAAGCATGAATTTTGTGCACCAGGCCTCTTGTTATTCTATAAACCATGAACAGCAAATAACCTTGTAGGATCAACAAAAACTTCCTTCTATTCCCTCCTGTGTGCCACAAAGCAGCAAAGCCAATGCTCTGAGTTCCAAGTAATAGTTCTATAAACATGGTTTCCAGTTCTGTTTCCGGTTGTGAACAGTTCCCACAACCTAAGCCAGATCTCAGGCTGCTACATTTTGGGTACCACAGCTTTCCATCTTTTCTCATAAACTGCTCTCTCATGTTTCACCTTCTAGTAACATAATCAAAATACTCAGTCATGCAGCTCAGCACTTCTGCCTTAGCTGTCTCTTTCTCATTCTTCTTCTTTTTCTGGCATTATTAGCTCAGCCAGTCAATTCTGTCTCAGCAATAGATCCACACAGGCCCTTTCCTCTCCATTATTGCCATTACCTTAAAAGAGGTCTTCCTTCTTTTTTATCTGCAGTGTTTCCTTAACTCCAATATTTTAAACTTTCCTGGTTTCTGTAGACCAAAAACACATCTGTCTTTTCATATTTGTAATCCACAACCTAGCAGAGAACTTGGCACATAGTAAATACTCAAATATTTGTTGAATGAACCAATCCTCCCATCTGTGAAAACCAGTAGCACCTTTCCCATGTCTCTGATCACTTCTGTTCTACCAGAATAATTTGTATATATGAATAGGTCCCAATTCCCTATTTAAACTCCTTTGGAACAGATGTGTTTAAGAATTCAGAATTTTTCAAATTTTTCAAATTTTAGTAAGAAAACATGGTTCTTAAAACATGTATTACATATTATATTATGTAAGACTTCCAACACTATAAACAAATATATGGTTTCTATATTTGACTAGTAACCAGATGAGATGAGGACAATCAGCTGCATTGTTAAGTTCTAGTCAGGTGTTGCTACCAATGAGTTATGAGAAAAAAAATCTCTCCATTTTTAGAGCTTTCAGTTTCTCGAATTGCAGATAAAAAAGTAACTGTGCTCTAATTTTCAGGAGCAGACTATTCTATAGGCCATATAAAGCCTCTGATTCTTTCATCTTCTTTATGCCTTCCTGTCATCTTTCATTTCCTCTGAATTTTTACTGTTGCTTAGGGACCCAAAGTGTTTACAAAGACAATTTTAGACTGGCTTCAATTAATAGTAATAAAGTCATAAAATATACTACTTATAAAATGGAGAACAGCTTATCCCTGTTCTCTATAACTAGGTTCCAGTCTGCCAACATGTGATGGCTTGGACAACTAGCAGCAATTTAACATATAAAAATATTTGAGCCGGGACCGGTTTGGCTCAGTGAATAGAGCGTCGGCCTGCGGACTGAAAGGTCCCGGGTTCGATTCTGGTCAAGGGCATGTACCTTGGCTGCGGGCACATCCCCAGTGGGGGGTGTGCAAGAGGCAGGTGATCGATGATTCTCTCTCATCGATGTTTCTAACTATCCCTCTCTCTTCCTCTCTGTGAAAAATCAAAATATATATTTTTTTAAATATTTGATAATAAAGTACTTAGCAAAACATTTTAAAAACTGATTTTTAGGGGGTGGGGGAAAGTAGCTTAGATGTTCCCTAAATCAATTATATCATATTACTTCTGAATATTTCCCTTAGACTAAACAGAAAATACATATTGCTCTCCCAACAATAAACATATTGTTTTAAAAGAAGAAAAGACACCAATTTCAGCACTTTTTTAAAAAGGCAGGCATCTGATTGTTTTGTTTCTCCATCTGATATCTATTTTTAAAAATATAGATATTTTTAAATTGATTCAGAGAGGAAAGGAGAGGGAGAGATTAAAAACATCCATGATGAGAATCATTGATTGGTTGCCTTCTGCACACCCCACACTACATTGGGGATCGAGCCTGCAAGCCCTGACTGGGAATTAAACCCTGACCTCCTGATTCATAGGTTGATGCTCAACTTTTGAGCTACACTGGCTGGGCTGGTATCTATTTTTTACCTTTCCAACCTATTCCAAGGATCTCTAGAAAAATAAAAAGCCAAAGGACAGTCTTTATTTAAAAGTGTAAAACACTTGAAGGTATTACAGGCTATCTAAAAAAGGTGTTCAGACATGTATAGGCAGTGAATTACATTTTGGAGTAATAAAAAAAGAGATAAAAATCACTGTATTCCTGACATTTTAACAAATATTAACAGTGAAATAAGTAAGACAGGCTTCTATCTTGACCTTATCTACTTAAAGAAACACTATCAATGGATCATAATGTTTCTAAGACTTCTAAAATAATACTCCATAATCAAAACATTGTCTCCAGAGTTAGAAGTAAGAAGCTGCAAGTGAGTATTGCAAGATATAGCTTCCTTCCCCAAAATACCTCACTGAGGCCCTCTGGTTTCTCATTTAGATCAGGGCATGCATTTCTCCATGACACATACTCTTGGCCGCAGAAAAAAAAGGAAGGGCTCTCCAACCTCTCTCAGGTCATCTCAGTGACTCAGAGGGTCTGGCTTTCCACCCGGCTCCTAGATGACCAGAACGGGCCTCAGGGAGGCCTAACTCCAAAGACACAGCTTACGACTTCTCCTCCTCCACAGCCAAGACCACACCTAACCCAGTACTGACACAGAACCTTACTAACTCCATATTCAGACTAATTGGGTTTGTAAAAATTCGCCCCCCACATGCATTCAGCCTGGAGATTAGTTATTGGAGTTGTTTGGATGCTGGGTGAGGGAGTTAATAGGGAAAATGGGCATGATCCAGGATCTTTGGGTTGGAATGCGCCTTCCAGGCCACTGAGCCCAAACCCTTGTTCCGCAACTTGCTCAAGGTCAGTCACTCATGCAGCTCCAGTGACACTTGAGGCCAGCCAAGGTACACTTATCCTTGAGTAGCTTATCCCTGTTCTCTATAACTAGGTTCCAGTCTGCCAACATGTGATGGCTTGGACAACTAGCAGCAATTTAACATATAAAAATATCTGTTAATAAAGTACTTAGCAAAACATTTTAAAAACTGCTTTTTTGGGGGGGGAGGTGGGGAAGGGGGGGAGAAGTACCTTAGGTGTTCCCTAAATCAAATCATTCACTCATTTATTTCAATGTCATTAGGTGTCAAGATGCAAAACAGAGGTGCCAAATGGAATCACCTTCTAAGATACCATAAGCCAAAGACCGAGATAGTTTCTCCTGCTGCCAGCTATTGCTACTTACTTCAGCGACATAAAGATTTTGAGAAAACATAAAAAGAACTAAAAATACTTGCACAGCTGAGAATCCAATCAAATAACAGGAAGCAGATAACCAAAGAAAATGGTGAATCCTTTCACAGAAAGCTTTAAAATCCAATTTCACTGTTAACTTGAAGAAGAGACGATAAGACCAACATAAGCCACAAGGCATCAATAATAAGTCCTTATTAACAAGATTCCAATATTCCCATTTTTTCCCCCAGTGGAAATATAAAGAAAAATCCCTTAGGTTAATTCAAGGTAATTTTTCTATGTAAGCACATTTTCTAATATTGCCTACAAGGAAACTGTCACCAAGATAAGGGGGAAATCTTAGTTGGTAATTGAAACTGTCTGCCAAGAGTGAATCACTTGCATACTTTATAAATCCTTTCAGAGCTCTGCCAACAGTGAGACGGACAGTTCCAGCACCTTTTCTCACTCATAGACCCCATTTCTCTTCTTTGCCAATATCTTCAAAAGTCCTGTGCTCTATATTTATTACCCAACTTCCAATATACTGTCATCCATTGGGATAAAATTGAATTCCATCATGAATACATAGAAAGAAAAAGGGAAGGGCAGAAAGATGAAAGAAAGGAAAGTGATGACACCTACATTTACAGGGTTAATCCATGGCATTTAGAAAAATATTAGACACTCTGAAATTTGGGGGACCAAGAACACATTACATTTTTGGCTTCCTTTCTACCCCTTCTGGATTAACGGCCTAAAAGTACAAAAGTCTCCCAGAAGAACAAACATCAAAATGTTAACTATGGGTAGTAAAAGTTCATATCATTTTCTTCTTTAAACCTTTCTATATCAAATATTATACAATGAACATACACTGCCTTAAAGAAACAGCAACTGTTACATTAAAAAGAAATGTGTTTATAGTGAACCAAAATTAATTGAATACAAGTTCAAAATGTTTTTTAGGAATATGTAATAGTTTCAGTTGATTTAGAGATGCACTTTAATTTTTTGGTCTAAATGAGCATTTATAGTGATCTTCAGTTGTAATGAGAAATAATCTGATTTCTTAAAGGCACCTAAATAGGCACCCTTAAATATAAGTCTGATAATTAGGTAATAATCCAAATTACTAATGTTTTGGGATAAAGAAAACAATTTTAGAATTGTCAAAATATAATGACAACAATATCTCATTTGACCTGACAAACTTGCTTTATACGTTTAAGAGAAATTTGAAGATTAGCTAGAGAAGTATATTAAGATGACTGTTTAAAAGTAATAATTCAAGTGTTACAATAGAATATTTGAAACAGATATTTTCATTTTAATTGATTCCCTACATCTCCAAATAACACATTCTCTGGATAACATGAAGCTTATTGTTCCCATTAAAAATAACATGAGGCTTATTGTTCCCATAAAAAATAAGTAAGAAGGTAGGGTTTACCTACTTTCAAAGAGACAGGTTTTAACTATAATAAGGATTTTTATCTCTATTTACTAAGCATTACTTTAAAATATTTTAAAACCAGCCGGGACCGGTTTGGCTCAATGGATAGAGCGTCGGCTTGGGGACTGAAGGGTCCCGGGTTCGATTCTGGTCAAGGGCATGTACCTTGGTTGCGGGTATATCCCCAGTAGGGGGTGTGCAAGAGGCAGCTGATTGATGACTCTCTCTCATCGATGTTTCTAACTATCTTTCTCCATTCCCCTCTGTACAAAATCAATAAAATATATTTTTAAAAAAATAAAAATAAAAATAAAATAAAATAAAATATTTTAAAACCAGGGATATAACTTACTCCACTTAGCTGCAACTTTTCTATCTTTAGTGATATGCCACTCAAATACAGCATTTACTTTCTTCACCACCTCGTTCCCAACATCCTTAAGACGACGACCTATTTCCTCAAATACCAAAGCACTCTGAAGCTCCCCACCCTAGGAAAAAGAAAATTTAATTTTAGAAGTTATGTAAAAATGAGTCAAGGAGAAAAAGCATTATAAAATATATGTGCATTAAGGTGACTTTTCTAAAATCTATACCTAAAGGCAAACTAGTATGTTTTTTCTTTTTACTCTAGATTTCTTTCACACTTTCTTTAAATTCATTCATTTCAACCAGAAATTCAATCTTCTTAATAAGAGGTTTTTACTTTTATCAGAATTCAGAAATAATAGTTTAAAAGTAAATTAGGAAATAGACAACCTATATCCTAACTAACATCAACAGGAAAATATAGGACAAATCATTCCACTTCTGTGGTCTTATTTCTTTATTTGTAAAATGTGATTAAATTATATGAAAACTGAATTTTTAGCTCTAAAACTCATAAATTTGTTTTTTATCTTAGAGACTTCTTGAGAGCTATCAATCATAAGTTATTTTAAGATCATAAGGTAACCTCGACATTACAAAATTAGTATTTTGGGAGACAGAGAACATAAACATTTTTATTAAGTCTCAGCATGCTAACGGAGAATATCAAAAATGTTTTTTCCTGGCTGGTGTGGCTCGGTTGCTTAGTGTCATTCTGTACACAGAAAGATCGAAGGTTTGATTCCATGTTGCAGGTTCAATCCCCAGTCAGGGCATGTATGGTAGGCGACCATTCAATGTTTCTCTTTCACATAAAAAATACTTTAAAGAATAATACTATTGTTTTTATATTTGTATACAAAGCTTTATACAAACATTTAAATTAAGAAAGTCTTAGGATATTTAATTTTATCACTTATTTTTCTCCAAAACATTGTTTGCTTGACATTTCTCATTAAACAATTGATTTAAGTACTCTAAAATTAGAAAATTAATTATTTTATCTTGAAAGATACCCCAGTATGGCCTCCAAAGAATTTTTTAAATGTATATGTTGTCAAAATATTATTTTTATTCTAAGAAGTTTTGATGTCTTTTAATTCAAGAATTAAGAATCTTTCACAGCTCTTAATTTTCAAAAGTAGGATGAACATTCTTAAAGTAATTCTAACAGATATACATTCAGAAATTAGGAGATGGCTTGAATACCAGTTTTTATAACTTACCTCAGAAGGTGTCTTGGCTAAAACATCAGATGTTGGCACAAGATCCACATATGCATTTGAAATAACGATGTTTCCAGTTTCTTGGATCTTATAAGAGGTACAATAAAATAAAATAAAATAAAATAAAATAAAATAAAATAAAGCAATTCATTGATAATTCCAATACAAACACTTCATGTGAAATAGTATAAAGTTAAAGAAAATTTACTTTTCCCCCCTCATATAAAAAAGAAAATCCAAATTAAATTAAAAGTTCATAAATTAAATGTCAAGATGAATAAATATGAAGCCTTACTGATTTAATACTACTGTTATTAATCTAACCATAAAATCAACTGGAACCCTTTTTAAATAATCCGAGATGCGCCTGGGCACTGGTATTTGGGGGACTTTAAAAAACACACAACAGTGTGTATAATGGGAACCAAAATGAGAATTACTGAATTGTTGAAAGGTAGAAGGCATGGTCCAATATCCACATGAGGCAGTGGTAATCAAAGTTTATTTCTGCTAATACTCATCTTTTCAAAGTATTAATTCTAGTTCTTGTTTCAAATACGAAGTGTACGTAGCATAAACTAAATGCTTAAATAGCCTTTTATCAAAATAAAAGTTCATTTATTACAGAAACTAAAATTCTAATTCTTAATAATTTATCTAAAATTATTTCAATGGCTATTCTTTTATAAAATTATGGTACTGCTACAAATGTACAGGAACATATATCTAAAATTTAAGGCAGCATTTATCAAAACTGATCTTTAACTATCAAGATCATTATCCTTTGACTATTTCATATCATAGTTCAGAAAAAAAGAACTTTTTTTTTTTAAATATATTTTATTGATTTTTCACAGAGAGAAAGAGAGAGGGATAGAAAGTTAGAAACATCGATGAGAGAGAATCATCGATCAGCTGCCTCTTGCACACCCCCCACTGGAGATGTGCCCGCAACCAAGGTACATGCCCTTGACCGGAATCAAACCCGGGACCTTTCAGTCCACAGGCCGATGCTCTATCCACTGAGCCAAACCGGTCCCGGCAGAAAAAAAGAACTTTCAAATTTGTTCATTTTATTTTAAATTATATCAGTGAAAGGTATGAAAAAAGACAATTTATAAACAAAATACACTTTAGTAAATTACTTTCTTGTAACCAAGCCAAGCATATCATTTGGAACATTAGTTTAAGATGTATCTTACAATACAATAGGAAGGAAAGAAAAAGGGAGAAAGGGAGGGACTGAGGGAGAAAGGGCGGGAGGGATGATTCTTATATATAACTAGCAGAAAAAGAGCACATCTAATCACTGCATATTAGAGATAATGGTATAGCCTGCTTATGGGACTCAATAACTGGAAGTTGTTATTATTAACAGGGGTGTTTAAACTAATCAACACAAACCATCTATGCAGTATTGGTACATGATCAGGCCAAATAGTATCAGCTGGTCAACTGTGTTAACAAAAATGACCTTTAAAAAACTTACAAGTAAATGGATGGCTGCATGTCCTTTTAGTACTTTATTGGGGTACTGCTTAACAGCCTCAACCCTAAATTACTTATTTCTATAGGGAAATACATTTTGTTTGTCTTGTTATTTATAATTAATCTCAGACTTATGACATAATATGTTAATTTGTGGATTTTTGTGTGATTAAGATACAGGTGTTTTCTGTCCTGGTGCACGACATTCATGCATTTGGAAGAGGGGATTTCCTCAGCCCACTCTGTACCCATTAGCAGTCCAGCAGCCCTCAGGGGATGTCCAACTGATGGCTTAGGCCTTCTCCCCATGGGGAGCGGGTCTAAGCCATCATTTGGACATCCTTAGCCCTGCAGCCCAACTTGTAGCTGAGCAGTGCTCTCCTGTGGGAGCACACTGACCACCAGGGGGCAGCGCCTGCATTGAGCATCTGCCCCTAGTGGTCAGTACACATCATAGCAACCAATTCCACCATTCTATCAATTTGCATATTACCCTTTTATTATATACTAATGGCCCGGTGCATGAAATTCAGGCAAATACTGCCCCCATCCAGGGGCAGGCCTGATGGCCCTTAACTACCCCCCATTGCTGGCCTGTTCACCCCCAATTGCCCTCCCCCACTGGCCTGATTGCCCCTAACTGCCTCTGCCTTGGCCCCACCTCCATGGCTTTGTCCAGAAGGGCATCCAGAAGATACCCAAGAAGGTTGCCTGGTCTATTTAGCATATTATATTTTTAATAGTGTAGACTAGAGACCTGATGTATGAAATTCATGCAAGAGTAGGCCTTCCTTCTCCTGGCTGCTAGCACCAGCTTCCCTCCAGCACCCAGGACCTGGGCTTCCATCCGGCCATTGGCAGGCACCTGGGACCTGGGCTTCCCTCACAGCCCTGGCTTCTCCCAGAAGGATGTCTGGAAGGATGTCCAGACTAATTAGCATATTACACTTTTATTATTATAGAGGATTATCCTTTAGTACATTCACTAAAATTATTAGTGAATTATATCAGTAAAATTATTTTAGAATGCATTTCCTTTGGTTCTAATTCTGTTTTGAACCAGTTTTATCATCTTGCTTGTTAGTTCCCTCATAATTAATTAAATACATTTATGTCATGTTTTCATTTAAATCTCTCTGAGAGCCATATCTTTAATTTTTTGAAGATTATATTTTGACAACAACCTAACTGCTTGAGCCTAAAAGATAGGGTTGGTTGTGTTTTCAGAATAGCTCTATCACTGCTCCACATACAGGAACCAGTTATCTATCTACACTAATAAAAGAGAAACATGCAAATTAACCATCACTTCAGACACCCCACCAGCCAATCAGGAGTATCCAAATTAACCTGACAAAGATGGTGGCGGCCCTACCCCCAGCTGCTTTGGGCCTCTGGGCAGCATGCATGCAGGCACTGAGAGGCCAGGCAGGTGGGACGCCTGCTATGAGGGGGAGGGTGGGGGCAGAGGGAGCTATAAGAGTAACACTCCAGATGGAACAAAGACTGAAGGCTACAGCTGGACCGAAGACTGAAGGCAGCAGCCAGAGCAAAGGCCTGGGTCCCAGATGCCAGAGGAAAACCAGTGCTGGCAGCCAGGGGAAGGAATCTTCATGCAACGGGCCTCTAGTATATATACAAAAGCCCAGTGACCAGAACGGTGGGACAACCAGAACAGGTGGCTATGATGCACACTGTAGCAGCCAACCAGCCTGTTCTGGGCCCTGATTGACCCTCAAACCCCTGGCTGGGGGTGGGGCCAGCAAGTCAACTGCCCGTGGCCCCTCCCCCACATCAGCCCAGCCCGATGGACCCCCATTGGGGCTAGCTGGACAGACCCCACCCATGTACAAATTCATGCACTGGGCCTCTTGTTCAAAATAAAATAAAAAACAAGGTACATAGGATCTTATTTCTAAAAAAAAGTTACCACTGATTATACAAAAACATTACAGGTTTTTGTGTGTGTTTTGTTTGTTTGTTTTATGGAACAAAATTATAGGACATAGTGAAGTGAGTAAGAAAACAATATTCATACCTTGGTTTGGAAATGGATTCTATTTCCTTCCTTCCACATCTCAGTTTGTAGAGTTTGTCCTGGATATACTGGTTTTGCAAAACGAGCCTTCAAAAAAATGAGTTTTGGGATTGAAAATGTTTCAAAATGCAACTTTTCTATTTGTGAAAAAAAAAAATTGTGAGGGAAGTCAAAGAGCATACAAGGAAAAAGAAAAGACAGGTTTAAATATAATTTATAAAGCAATAAAAATAATATGATAAAATAAGTAGAGAAAGAATATAGTTAATATAAGTAAATTCTTTCAAAGTACAGAGTCAATAAATAGTGTTTAGTCCTGGCAAACCCAGAAACAGAAACAATTATATTAAGTAGTACTACCATCAAAAGAGTTAAAATAAAATAAAAAACATGAGAATAACCAGTGCTATCAAAGGCAATGTATCAAAAAAATGCATTTTCACTGCTATATGGAACACAAACTGATAAAAGCTTTGGGAACTGTTTGATACTGTACTACACTTTTTTAAGATGTATCTTTTTACTTACACTTATGCAAAGATATTGTTCAGAGATGGTTTTCTTTGTCATTTATAATGGATGAAAGCTTGAATTCACTTAAAAGTACAAAAACTAAAAGCTACCATCATGTTGATGTAGGTGTTATTAGAGTTCAATGTAGCCATTTAACATTTTCAATTAAATTAATGTCAAATTACAAAAGAGTGGAAAAAAATTTAAGGTGAATCTCAAGCTTTTGTTAAAGCATATATTTTATAAAACAATCCAATTAATATGTTAAAATTATAACTGTATATGATACCCTCACATGAAAAACGTGTAATAGAGGTATTTTAGCTACAAAAAGAAAACGTGTTAATTGCCAAGTCAATGTAATAAAGATGTTTATTAGTTCAGTATAGCACTTACTTTTAAAAAGTCCCTAAAACTTTTTTTCTCTCTGAATGTTCAAATTATGCAATAATATGTATATACCTTAATTGCCTTAAATCTTGAGACGTCACTGTCTGCAAACTGCTGCAAAACATGCCTGGCAGAAAATCCAAATGAACATAATCCATGTAATATGGGCTTGTTGAAACCTAAAAAGAGAGTTTAGCTAGATATGGATATATTTCATGTTTAAAAACCAAGAAAAATTTAAGATTTCAAAAACATAATCTTCTAACTACATTAGAATGAATTATACCTTCTATTTTAAGCAATATGGAAAATATTCTATAAATAATACCTCCTGGATGAAAATTATGAAATAAAGAAAAAGATAAGAAAGGAACTTTAGAGATATGGGAACACCAAACATTGCTTTGTTTAGCTTGGTTGTAACCACAAAATCATCCAGGATGATTTCAATATCCTTATATATAATCTTTCCCTAACCTTTCATTTCTTGCTCCTTCCTCCAATGACCTTGACCTTCATAACTCAGGCACTGACACACATGATCCTATTCTATACCTTTCACTAGCAGGAGCTTTTTTTCCATCATAATCTCAATTTCAAGTACACCATTTTCAGAATATTACTTCCTACCTTTCAATATCCTTTGTATAAATGTATTATGAAAGGGCTATTTTTAAAATGTTACTTAAACTACAAGTCATAAGTAGCAATGTCTTTAAGTCTTATTTAGATAACTTAGCTAATATTTTTTCATTGGCATGTATTTTAGCAACTCACCTGCTAAACTAGCAAAGTTAGGATCAATATGTAATGGATTCCAGTCACCACTGAGGCGGTACAGAGCAGCCTGTACAGAGAAGAATTATAAATGTAACTAGTATCCAGTGCTTTCTTAGAATACATTAAAAGAAAAACAGAAAATAAGGCTGGTTATTGTATCTCAAATGCATTAAAATGTACCTAATTACAGCTTTGATTAAAAAATAACTATTTCGCTGAAACCGGTTTGGCTCAGAGGTAGAGCGTCAGTCTGTGGACTGAAAGGTCCCAGGTTCGATTCCGGTCAAGGGCATGTACATTAGTTGCGGGCACATCCCAAGTAGGGGGTGTGCAAGAGGCAGCTGGTCGATGTTTCTCTCTCATCGACATTTCTAGCTCTCGCTCTCTCCCCTCCTCTCTGTAAAAAGTCAATAAAATATATTTTTAAAATAAAATAAAATAAAAATAAAAATAAAAAATAAAAAATAACTATTTCTAGCCCAAGCTGGTTTGGCTAAGTGGATAGAACATTGGCCTGTAAACTGAAGGGTCCCCAGTTCGATTCGGGTCAAGGACACATGCCCAGGTTGTGGGCTGGATTCCCAGCAGGGGGAGTACAGGAGGCAGCCAATCAATGATTCTCTCTCATCATTATGTTTCTATCACTCTCTCCCTCTCCCTTTCTCTCTGAAATCAATAAAAATATATTTTAAAAAATAACTATTTCTACCCTCCCCCCCAAAAAAAGTTAACTGTAAAGCAAATTTTTATAATACCTGACATTGAAATCAGTTGAGAAGGATTGTCAAATAATAAGAAGGGGTGTCAAAAACTATATAACACTGGTTACCACTACTTAAGAAATTCACAAAAAGAAATCCATCAACCTATTCCCTCTAAAATACAATAGAAATAATGTAAATGTTTACAGCCTTTTCTAACCAAGCAAAATGTATGCAAACTTTCTAAATAGAGTGTTTTAAATCAAATACAAAATGCAAAGTGGTCAGGAATTTCTGTCAAATGATGAGAGCTCATTATTTATACAAAAAAATTTTGTTAACTTAATATTCGTGGTGCAGCAAAATAGACAATGCTGCTAAAAGCTAACAAAAAGTTCTATTTATCTGAAAAAGTAAAAGAAAAAAAATTCCTCTATTGTGTGTAGAAATTCAAGCTTTGGAAACTATTTAGTTTTTCTTATCTATAACAGGTACATTTTATTATTTCAGTAACCCAAAAATAATAAAAGAGCATTGGTGGTTTTTTTACACTGTGAAACTTTGAAACCTTTTCTGTGTAGTGCCCTTAAAAAACTGATTTCACTATGAAGCTTTAATTGAACACACACACACACACACACACACACACACACACACGCGTGCATTCTTAAGAAACTGATAAGAAACAGACATTGCAAAAACATTTAAAGGAAAAAACTAATCTGAACAACAACAAAAAAAAATTTGTTCTCTCCATCATCTGATTATATAGTGCGGGGGGGGGGGGGGTGGGGGGGGGTGTGTGTGTGTGTAAAATACAATATGTACCAACCTTAATTCTTTCTGGCTCATGAAATTACTAGTATATTTATATTTGTCAGAAAATATAAATCCTGCAGAAGTTCTCATATCCAGTATATCAAAATTAGCATGAAAAAGCAGTGAACTTTATAAATAATTTGCTGTCATTACAAGCTCACTCACAGCACAACTTCAGAGCTTTGCCTATTCTTTTCTCTCTCTGCATGGTTGTCTCCTGGCCACTTCAGGAAAGAATCTTCAGGTCTCCCAAAGACAAAGTTGTTTTTCTCCTCTTTGTGGCTACTCTTTGCTTCTTAAATAAATCCTTACATGCTCATGGAATTTGTTACCTGATAGGGTATTTTATTTTTTTAAATATATTTTATTGAATTTTTACAGAGAGGAAGGGAGAGGGATAGAGAGCTAGAAACGTCGATGAGAGAGAAACATCGACCAGCTGCCTCTTGCACACCCCCTACAGGAATGTGCCTGCAACCAACGTACATGCCCTTGACCAGAATCGAACCTGGGACCTTTCAGTCCGCAGACCGATGCTCTACCACTGAGCCAAACCGGCTTCGGCTGATAGGGTATTTTATATCCTCCATCAGAGAACAAATTATTTATGTCAAACAAAAGAGATTAAATCATCTACCCTTTATAAGATGCTTTATTTTGCCTGTATGCTAAAGTTAGCATACTATAATCTGATTCCAACCAATGCGGCTCAGTTTCCTTCCCAATAGAGAAAGGAATGACTAAAATTTGCCTTTTTATTCTTTACATCCTGCCCTCTAAAGCTCTTATGAATTTCTTCACTAGTAAGCATGACAGTCTCCCTAAGGCAAGTGTTCCATCACCAGCGAAGCCCGATGCTCTTTGAAGAGACTACTGAAAAGTCTTTTTATATTATCTTTTCATACCTAGTGAAGAAAAAATTGATAAGTAAAAATTTAGAAAGAATGAATTCCAACGACACTATATATATATATATAAAATGTTGAAGGACACAGCACTATAAGGTGTCAAGAGTTATAAATTAAAAAGTGTCAGCAGTCAGGTGGATTTATCACTTTTAAAATATACAATCTGCCCTAATAGGTTTGGCTCAGTGGATAGAACGTTGGCCTATGGACTGAAGGGTCCCAGGTCTGATTCTGGTCAAGGGTATGTACCTTGGTTGCACGCACATCCCCAGTAGGGGGTGTGCAATAGGCAGCTGATAATGTTTCTCTCTCACTGATGTTTCTAAATCTCTATCCCTTCTCTTCCACTGTATAAAAAACGAAAAAATTTAAAAAATAATAATAATAAAATAAAATATACAATCTCACCTGATTAAGTGAGGTGGTGTCTGTAAGTACAGCATCAGGACGTCTATTAGGTATGGCTACAGCTTCCTGAAATAAAAAAATACTGTATGTTAAATACCAACAAAGTAACTTTTATTCTCTTTACCCCAAACTGGCATTTTATAACCAACTATGTTTTAATATAATAAAATCTGCAAGTTGGATAACAATTTAATACTTTATGTTCAGGAGATAATGTTTAAAATTTCATAACTGCTAGCTTTCTCTACATTATGTTTTTCCTATTTAATGAGAGGGATCATGGAGAAGAAAAAGGCAAAGATTGTTTTCCAAATGCAAAAGATGAGGACAGATATGAAAATTAAACAATTCACATCTAAATTAATTTAATCTTTAAATTCACTTTACTAAGAGTATAGATCTCTTTGCATTTATAGCCTATTTGGAGTTAGTTGAACTTCTTGGATGTGTAGATTGTTTTGCATCAAAGGCATTATTCCTTCAATTATTATTTTCTACTTCTTTCTCTCCTCTCACTCTGCTCCTCCTGTTACTTGAAGGTATCCCATGTTTCTTTGAGGCTTTTCATTCTTTTCTTTTTTTCCTTTACCTTTTTTCTGTTCTTCAGATACATACTCATAGATAGGTGGAATAGCTATATCTTCAACCTTTTTGATTCTTTCTTTTGCTAGTTCAAATCTACTATTGAGCCCCTCTAGTAAATTCCTCATTGCAATTATTGTACTTTCAGCTGCTGAACTTCTATTTGGTTCTTTTTTTTATATTTTCTATTTATTGACTTTGCTTGATGAGTCATGTCATCATATATTACTTTTATAAGCAGGGTTTACTTTCCTTCTTTAAATAAATAATAGCTGCTCTGAAGTCTCCATCTGTTATTAGATCCTCTCATAGGTGATTTCTGTTGCCAGTTTTATTTTGTTTTATTTTTCTTATCTATCCATGGGTCACTCTATCTGTTTCTTTCATGTCCTATTTTTGTGCTGATAACTGGACATTTTAGATAACTTATTGTAATAACTCTGGATACTAATTGCCCTTCCCTTCACGGCTTGTTGTTATTAACATGTTAATTTATTTGATGATTTGACTAAACTATTTTAATTCTTTTTCTCCCACAGTGTGCCGCCCTGATGTTGCTTCTCAGACGGTGCAGCTTGCCCTGTGGTTTTATTAGTTTATGTTAAACTGTCTGCCTCTTTTGGAATCCCACTCAGCTGATGGGCTCCACTAGCTGCCAGATGACTGCTCTATTATTTTCAACAATACTTTGAAGCATAAATTGCTCCAAGGTCTGATCCAATTAAAGTCAGGCGTCTTTAAAAGGATAGTTAGTCTTTGGGGCTAGTCTTAGAGATGTGTTATGAAACCATGAGGACTCCACTTAACTGTCTCATTCTGTGGTTCTCTCTAGTGGTCTTCCACTTGGACAGAGGGATCTGGGTTTGGCTGCACCTGCCTGAAGTGAAGCTTCTACCACATTGAGCCAGGGAGAGAAAGGAAGAAGAGAATCATGGCTCAAATGCCAGATTCTCACTGTCCTTGCCAAGATATAGATCTTAAATAGATATTTCTTCATTTGCTAATTCCCTTAAAACAATTCCCAAAAACTTTAAACTTTCTTTTTTCTCATAATTTTTACCAGCTATGATTGTTTCACAGGGGAAAGGGTCAAAGGAACTCACACACTATCATTCCAGAAGCAATGTTACTTTTATAATACTTTATCCCAGAAGAATATTTATTACAGTATCTTTATGACTTCACATAAATTAGAAGTAAAGGCTATGTTAAATTAGTGTAAAATACAAGTTCTAAAATATTTTTAGAATAAATATATTTTTACATAGATTTGACAACTGAAGAATAACTGGAATTGTCTTACATAAGAGAAGTGCTAAAGCCATTTAATGAATGAAGATGTTCATTTCTACAAGAGTCACTTGTATGTGTTAAGCTTTTATAAAGACTTTTGGGTGCTACAAAGTTTGTATAAGGAAGTAAAAGCATACCCATAATTATCTCAGGTACATTATACTTATCTCAACCAGACTTTGCTATATGTAACATATATTATATATTAAACTATACAAACATAAACAGCATTTCAAATCCAAGAAACATATTCTGATTCAAAGAAGTATGGATTATTGAGCCTCTACTGCATGAAATTACACATGTGGTAAAATGGTACATTTAAGATACAGATTAGGATCCTTAACTACATATATATTTTACTTATAAAGACATAACATACCTTTACTTTATCTGAAGTCCGTTTTCCACCAATGCCTCCAGAGCCAATAAGGAATATGGAGAACTGATTAAAACATATAAGTTCCTTCCCAGAATAAGAATAGACTGAAAAGTAAATGAAAAATATGTTTTAATTTGTCAAAAGACATAACTAATTAACCAACATATGACCAACAATTCCTTTAAAAGTTAAAAAACAAAATCCAATTACTGAAAGGTTTTATAATTTAAATATGTCTAAGTTTGGTTATGAGCCTTTCCTTTTTATTCACCAGTTTCTGGAAGGCAGACAGAAGAGGATGTTCACCAACCCTTACTTGACTATGAAATAGCAGGTTCTCTCCCCTCTTTTTAAACTTCCCCAACTTTCGTATTTTAATTCTCTCCAAATCAAACATTTCAAGCAATCCCACTATACAGCACAGGTAACCTCACACTCAAACTTTCAAACATTCTGCTAAAGCACTCAAAAAGAGCCTGGAATATAAAAGAAAAAATAAGTGAGAGTGAAAGTATAAAATTCAGGAGGGAGGGATCATGGCTATTTTGCTCATCATCATATTCCCAGCAATTAGAATAGTACCTGGGACCAAAAAGAGGAACCTGATAATGTCTATTAAGTCAATTAACAAATCAATGACTAAATGACAAGTTAGCAAGTAGTGAACAGGTAATCAAGTAATAAATGAATATAAGACAGCTGTTCCTCTTTCTACTGACTGATTTACTAGTGAGAGTTTAAGTATTATCTGTGTTTCCAGCTCTAGAAAAATAGGAACATGATTTTGAACTGCATTAGAGAAAAAAAAAATCCAATTATAACAAAAATTAAAAAAGGTCATAGTAATTTGTATTTAAAATAAAAATTTTGTATTTATTAAATAAGAAACTGGATAATCTATTTCATTTATACTTTAACTAAAAATTCTAATAAATTATTACATATTAGAGGCCCAGTGCATGAAATCCTGCATTGGGGGCAGGAGATTTTCCTCAACCCAGCCTGCACCCTCTCCAATCTGGAACCCCAACTTAGGCTGGCAGTCAGACATCCCTCCACAACCCAGGACCACTGGCTCCTAACCACTCCCCTGCTGGCCTGATTGACACCTAACTGCTCCCCTGCTGGCCTAATTGCCCCAACTGCCCTCCCTTGCTGGCCTGAACACCCACCACTGCCCTCCCCTGCTGGCCTGATCTCCCACAACTGCCCCTGCTGGCTTGATCACCCACAACTGCCCTCCCCTGCCACAACTCGCCTCCGCCACTGGAACCCGCCTCCTCTGCCTGAGGCAGTGGAGATGCTGGGATGGGCCTCCACGCTGCATGGAGCCATGGGATCCCCAGGTCTCACCACGCAGAGTGGCCACTGGGCCCCACCTCCTCTGTGCACATGGCCATCTTGTGGCGGCCATCTTGTGACAACATCATATACAAGAGCCACCTAGGCTTTTATTAGTATAAATTACCAGCTATAGTTAAATAAATGGAGTTGATCAAGAGACAATAGGAAAAATTGAAGCTAAAGTTACTACAGAATTTTTGTGGTATGTTATATTTGGTAGGATGGTGAGAAGACTAAAAGATAACTGGGAGAATTATAGCCAAATACTGGCCAACATTTGGAATGACAATAAAATGTGAAAATCTAAAAAAGAATATAAGTAGAGGAAGACAAGAAAGAGAGGAAAAGGAAAAAGAAGAGATAACCAACATATGATGAAATACAGAGTTATCAAAAACAATGTAGTAGAATATTTAAGAGCATCAAAATATTCTCAATATATTATTAAGTAAAAACAAGGCAAGTCCAAAACAGCAAATAGAGTATAACATCCTATGTGTTTAGAACAAAAATGATTAACGCCTATATTCCAAATATCAAATAATATTAAACTTTACACTGTCCTTTATTTCTAAAAATGTTTGATAATAAATATTTATTTCTTTTGTTCTTAAACTTTAAAAATTTTAAGCAGTGTCATCTGTATCTTATGTTTAATTACTAGTATTTCAACATTTATTAAACTACTATAATATTTTTTTCCACTGCAAATAAAATGTGGCTATAATGTTTAAACCATATTATGAGTTCTATAGGCCTGAAGGTGCAAGTTTAGAAACTTAACTACCCGTATTTTCCGGCGTATAAGACGACCCCCTAATTTTACAGTTAAAACATAGGTTTAGGCCTATATTTGCTATATAATACTACCCCCCACTTCAAAGAAAAGACTTACTTTGCCATCAAGATCTGCAGGTAATTTTTGTGCAATTTTGGTTTTTTACCCCTGATTTTCGGTTGACTTTTTTTCATTTCAAAGGTCGCCTTATACGCCGGAAAATATGGTACCATTTAGAAGAGTGATTCAGGGGTCAGATATGTTCCAAATTTCAAAGAGCTAACACAGAAAACAATTTCTATAATACTGCCTAATTACCAACGGAGGGCTGTCTATGTATTCCTTCCTGTCCAAAACTAACTCAGCAAGTATAATTCTCCTTAACCAACCACAGTTCTGTGCTTTGTTTGTATCGTCTCAAATCCCCTGAAGTGGCCCACTCTCCCTACCTTTATCCTAATCTACTGCTTCCTTCCCTCCTTCCTTATTTTCTAAAGCAGCTTATAAATATTCAGAGTGCTTATTTTGCTTTCCCACAAATTGAAAAATACAAAATTACTAATAACTTCTATGGTGAAGTAACTATGTTACATATAAAACCTATCAATCTAACAATATTATCATAAGAATTGAAAATTACCATCGATAACAAGTACTAAACCGGATCCTTTATCTAGGACATCAGCAACAATTGCTTCATTCCTTAACGTTCCTAAAATGAAAAGTAAAATAAATAAATAGACTGTTTTAAATTTCATAAGTAAATAAATAGACTGTGTTAAAAATACTAAGTTATTATATTAAGACATGAGAGAATTTAACATAATTTCCACTATAAGTTCAGCAAAACTAAAAAGTATGATTTAAATAATTTTCATTACAATGCTAAATAATTCAACATTAGAGGCAGTCAGAACATCTGAGTCTCTAAACTTGAATCAGTAATTCTGATAAATTAGGTTTTAAGAAATAATTCTTTTCAATCATTCAACAAACATTTGTGAAGGATATGACCAGTGCCATTTACACCATTCCTTCTCAAATCTCTACTCTACTAGCTTCCATGAGACACTTTTTCTCTAATCACTCTGTACTTTTACAGACTCTTCCTTCCATCATTTAACTGGTGATGTCTTGATGGATCATCATTGTCTGCGGGTAAATGCATGCTTTTCTCAAACCTGCTTTTCTCTTTTGTTCCCTACGTAAAGGAATGGTACTACCCACCGAGCTGCTCAAGCCAGAAACTTGAGCATCACCCGACTCACAGAGTCTAAGCAGTGTCTACACTTGAGTATGCAAGGATGGTAGAAGATGGATTCTACAAAAACTTTTACTTCATCCTTAAGTCTGGGGTTTCATAGGAAAGTGACAAACACATTTGCATTTCAGAAATAGCATTATGGCTGCAGCGAGGTGAATAAACCTCAAAGGAATAAGAATGGAGACAGAGAGAATACTTAAGAGAGCAAGAGAAGATGGTAGACTAAACAAAAAAGTAGAAGTGGAGGTGGACAGAAATAGGATTCAGATGTACCAAAGGAGAGAACCAATGAACTTGGTAAGTGTCTGGATGTAAAAGATGGTAAAAGAGACGCCATGGATGATATCCAGATTTTTCACTTTTCTAAATCTCTCTGATCCACTCACTTGTTTTCATCCTTCTACCACCTTAGTGCAAGCTACCATCATTTCATCTGAAGTACCAATACAGACTTTTAACTAGGTGCCTGCACATCCACTCTGACCAACTTTAAAACATGCTCCGTACATGTCTGAGGTGATTTTTTCTCCAAAGTCAAATTTGACAATGTAATAAAGTGCTTTTCCCAACACTACCACTATCTTTCCCCACCAGTCCCATAAATATAAAATTGCGATAAATACAAAATTCCCTAACATGATCTATATGATACTATTCCCTGCCATCACTACCAGGCCCTCCAGCCACCCTGGCCTTCCTTTGCTCCTTGTTATCTAAGCTTCTCGTATTTCAAGAGACTTTACACAGGCCTTAGGATGTCTAGAATGCTCTTTCTTTCCTGCTTTGCCTCACTTCATACCCACCTAAAATCTTTCTTTAAAATCTCTCTTCTTAATCATTCCTTAGAGAACACTTTCATTACCAATCCAATAATGTCCAATCCTTCTATTTTAAATTCTAATTGTATCATGTATGGTTTACCTATAATGTTTATCACAAGAAGTTACAGGTAATATAATGTAATGTAATAACAAGTGGTTTTAATATACAGTCAGATTACAAAACTATCTAAAACCAAATATGTCTTACAAGTGGCAAGTATCCAGCAGATATCTGATGAACAGTCACCACACACTGTGCATTATAATGGATAAAAAAGACAGTGTGAAACTTAGGCTATAACACTAACAATGAAACAAAGCTATTCAGCCTTAAGCAATAAGAATCTCATAATTTATTTAGTAAAATAAGTAGACTGAGGAACGAGTTAAAGTAGCTACTTTAACTTTTTCTAGCTACTTGTTGACCTCTACATTATATAATGTAAAATGAACAACTAAGATATTATTGAGAAAAATAGATGATTAAAGATACAAAAAATTCTGTATATTTTAACATGGTTTATTTTATGAAAATCAGCACCAATATAAATACCTGAGAAAAGAATGAAGAGCCATGTTAACAGGAATCATAACTGATTGTACATAATCACCAAATTTAGAACATATTCACAAAAATGCTCCTTTCATTTGTGAATAACACATATATCAATAGAAATAAATTATTAGCATTTTGAAGTAATTTATTAAAGGAAAATATTAAAAGACAAAGTTTAAGATAATCAAAACAGGTACTAGTTAATAGCAACCTAGTCTAATGGCTGACAAGTGCATAAATAACTTGTGATATGCTTTATTTAGATCTCTCTGTGCCGATTTAACATACCTACACAGTTTGGAAGGTTAGTAAAAAAAATAAAATTATGGTGTGGTTACTGGAGTCAGTATATCAAGAACTCACCTGTTCTGGGAAGTGGTTTATACAACTCCAAGTACTGCTCCCCATGAAGAACCTATGTTAGGATAAGTAAAGTTTTATTAGCAGACTTCCTTTTTTCCACGGGTCCTGTCTGGGGGTATTACTTATCAAAAATGACATTTCACTGTCCACATGCTCGCATCACTACTTCCCCCAAATTAACTGTTTCAGTTTGGCTTCTACTTCTTAATCACATGATTTAGAAATAATCAGTCCCCCAATCTAAAAACTATCTTTTGGAACAGAGAAGATATCTTATGCTAGAGACCGGTGCATGAAATTCGTGCACGAGGGGTGTCCCTCAGCCCAGCCTGCATCCTCTCCAATCTGGGACATCCCTTTCACAACCAGGACTACTGACTCCCAACTGCTCACCAGCCTTTGCCTGACTGCCCCTAACTGTTTCTGCCTGCCAGCCTGATCACCCCATAACCACTCCCCTGCCAGCCTGATTGATGTCTAACTGCTCCTTGGCTGGCCTAAATGCTTCTAACTGCCCTCCAGGCCTGGTCACCCCTAACTGCCCTCCATGCTGGCCTGATTGCCCACAACTGCTCTCCCCTTCAGGCTGGTCCCCCCCAACTGCCCTCCCTGCTGGCCAGGTCACCCCTAACTGCCCTTCCTTGCTGGCCTGGTCACCCTTAACTGCCCTCCCTACTGGCCAGGTCACCCCTAACTGCCTTCCTTGCTGGCCTGGTCACCTTAACTGCCCTTCCCTGCAGGTCTGCGCCCCACCCCCACTTCCCCTTTCCTGCAGGCCTGGTCCCCCTCAAATACCCTCTCCTGCTGGCCTGGTCTCCCCCAACTGCACTCCTCTGCTGGCCCAGTCACCCTTAACTGCCCTCCCTGCAGACCTGATTGCCTACAACTGCTCTCCCCTGCAGACCTGGTCCCCCCCAACTGCTCTCTCCTGCTAGCCTGGTCTCTTCCAACTGCCCTCCTCTGCTGGCCCAGTCACCCCTAACTGCACTCCCCTGCAGTCCTGGGTCCCACCCAACTACTCTCCACTGAAGGCCTGGGTCCCCCCCTCCCCCCTGCAACTGCCCTCACTTGTTGGCCTGATCTCCCCCAACTGCCCTCCTCTGCCAGCCTGGTCACCCCCAACTGCCTTCCTCTGCTGGCATGGTCATCCCAAACTGCCCACAACTGCCCTCCTCTGCTGGCCATCTTGTGGTGGCCATCTTGTGTCCACAATGGGGCAGCCACCTTCATAGTCACTAACCTCCATGTATTGAAGCAAGAATACCCAAATATATGTAGGAAAACAATAGGACAGGAAAAACAAAACGTGGCCCACATAATCAAAAGACCACACTCCAGTGCCATGGACAGCTTAGTTCCCTGTCTTCCTCAGAACCCAGAAGAGAAAAAAGGGGTAGGCGGTTAGCAGTGCTAGCAGGACAAATGAAGGAGGCCTCACTGTATCTTAAGGCCTGGAAACTCAAGCTGGGAAGACTAGGATTCAAATGCCAAGACAGCCCTAGTTGGTTTGGCTCAGTGGACAGAGCATCGGTCTGCGAACTGAAGGGTCCCAGGTTCAATTCCAGTCAAGGGAACATATCTCACATTATGCAGGCTTCTCCTTGGCCTGGGCCCTGGTCAGAACATGTGGAGGAGACAAACTAACTAATGTGCTTCTTTCACATCAATGTTTCTCTCTGTCTTTCTATCTCTCTTCTACTCTCTCTAAAAATCAATGAAAAATATCTCTGGATAAGGAATTCCGAAAAAATAAAAATAAATGCCAAGATAGCTATCAATAGCTGTCATTCCAGGCCACAGGTTTTAAACACCATTTCTGATTTCCAATTCCTTTCAACTCTGAAGGACAATTCTGAAGCAACTGTTTTGTTTGCTCTTACATTAAGCAAACACAAGAACTGTTTATAGCAATTACCATGGGAGAGTGACTAAAACAACAAACTGGTTGGCATCCATTTCTCAGCTCCCTCCCAACTTCATGAAATACTCTTAATACAATAAGAGTATTCTCCTAAGTTCAACACAATGGAACCTCCAGTAAATGGATTCTCCAATCGAGGAGTTGCAAAAATAGTCTCATAGCTCTATGATTCAACAATTATCTAGGCTCATTCTAAACCTTACTCCAAGAAATAAAATAAACCTCACCTCAAAAGCTTTCTCACCGTTGTTCACTCCTTCCTTCTTGAAACAATTTATTCACTTTCCTTTCCAAATACTATATTCTCTTGATATTCCTTATAACTCATACCCTACCAGCCATTCCTTTGCAGTCTCTCTCACTAATTTCTCCTCATCTTTTCAACCACTAAACACTGCAAAGTCCCTAAACTCAAGATCTTCTGTACATATATTCACATATTAGGTAATTTCATGTCTTTAAATATCACTTAAATGCTACAAACCCCAATTCGACCTTATCCCCAAACTCTAGATTCATATGTTCAACTGTCCACTTTTTAACTCCACCTGCATGTATGATAGGCATCTCAAATCTGTCGGAAAACAACTAATTATCCCTACTTTAAAGTAACTACATATATCTATTTTATTAGACACAGTAATGTTATATGTAATTAATATAATATACATATTAAATATCCATATATATTAAAGGCTAATATGTAAAATGTCCTGCAGGAGTTTGATAGGGAGACCAGGAGTTCAACAGGGAGACCAGTTCTATCGCTCGCTATATGTGCACTGACCACCAGGGGGCAGCAGCCAGTAGCCAGGGAATGAGGCCCTCGTTGGCAGCTGGCAACCAGGGAAGGGAAGTCCCAGCCAGAAGCCGAAAGGAAGGCCCTGATTGGCCCTGACTGCCAGTCAGGTCTAGGTACCTTACCCATGCGTGAATTTCATGCACCGGCCTCTAGTGTTATATATAATTAATCATAAATAATATATTGTTATGTATACAGGATGGGGCAAACGTAGGTGTATAGTTGTAAGTGAAATAGAGTTTATTCTTATATTCTTATATTGTTATTTACTATTCATTGTATTATTTTTCATACATCAACTTTTGCCCCACCCTGTATATATTATCCGAGTTGTCCAGACTATAAACCTTTATCCTTGATTTCCTTTTCCCCCCCTCTTATCCAGCTTTTTGCTTGCATTATTATAGTAAGCTCCTAACTGGTTTCCATGATTCCATGCTTGGCTCCCATATAACTTATTCCTCATACAACAGCAAAAATGAGCCTGTGAGTGAACACAGCCAGCTCCTATCACCCCTCAGTTCAAAGTGCTACTGATGTCCCTACTCATTACTCAGAGTATAAACTGAAATCCTTACAACGACTACAAGGCCCTCTTCTCCCACCACTGCCCCTTCTCATTCTACAGTGATACTGGCCCCCTTGCTCCTTCTACAGCTATAGTGATCCCTTTGCTGATCCAAAAAGAAGCCTGGAGGCCTTTACACTCGTTTTTCCTGCCTCGAATACTCTTCCACAGGATAATTAATTGCCTGGCTTGCTCCTTCCCCAATATCATCAGATAATGATGATAATATCCACTTTACAGATAAGAAAACAAGCTTAGAGAAGTTATTTACCCTTGGTCAGACAGCAAGTAAAGAGTAGAGAAAGAATTAATAACATTATGTCAAGGTTATGGGACTGAACATGATTGCTTTTTTGTGTGTGTTTGTTTGTTTGCCTTTTCAACTAACCCTTTTCTCTGTTATTCTTAAAAAGGAATATCAAAGGATATGCTAACTCTATTCCTGAATCAACCATTAAAAACTGTTTTACTAATAAGATGTGATACTTATCAACCATATTTAAAGAAACAGGAAAAAAAGCAAAATAAAAGTTTCTTATTATGCATACCTTTGCTAAGTCAATTGAAAGCCCAGGAATCTCTAATAATTGTCCACCCATTATGGATTTCTGAGCTATAATAACTCCAAAGGTAGGTAAACAGGAGAAGTCAGAATGTCCTTCATAAATAAACTTCAGATCCTTTGGTGCCTTGACTGATGCTCCCACTCCAAGAGCATACATAATAGTTTCCAGTTCCGTGTAAGCAGTAGAAAATGAAGGAAGTGTGTGGCCAACAGCTTCACCCTAGGGGGCAATTGTAGGAAATGATTTTTGTATTCATTGTTAAAACTTCAATTTTTCAGAATTACTCATTGCTTATGGTACATACCTACTTTTGTTTTTTGAAAAGATGTGATTAAAATATTATTTTAGTGAATTTAATGGAGTATTATAACTATTTCATTATATTTTTTTAAATAGAAACCAATTAATAATGTGTGGAAAGTACTGCATTTTTAAGTAATTACTTTTTTTTATTGCTTGCTAACAGGTAGTATGTCTCATTTTAAAGTTTCCTGTCTTTGAATCTAGAATCTGTTAACTCATCAACTATTAGCTACCCAAAAATAAAAATTTAAATTAAAAAAACCCACATATTTATTGTAAGCAGGAATAGTGAATTGCCCTATAATATTTATTACATAAAAATTCACTGTAAACAGATGAGCAAAACACTACTTAATGCTTGTAAATCAGAAATGGCTTTACATTAAATGAGATTTTACCTGAAGTTCCTTCCTAGAAATGTACCTTATCTAAATGGATGTTGTATTTTTCTATATAGTGATTATATGCCTATCTTATATGTAAAGCATATATGATGCCCAACTTTCAATCACTCATACTAAAGAAGGAGTTGCCAAACAATGCTAAGAGCTAAAAATGGCTTTTACATTTTTAAGTGGTTAAAAAAAAAAAGAAAATCAAGAAGAGGTGTGTCAGAAATAGTATTTGGTCCAGGAAGTCTAAAATATTTATGATCTTGCCCTTTACCAAAGAAGTTTGCCAACTCCTATCCTTAAGTAAAATCACACTTATAAACTGATCACATTCTCAGGATTAAAACTAGATGATTAATTTTATCACTATGTCTGTCCTGAGTCACAAAATACCAAAATCACATGTGTCAAACTCTTGACTCCTTACTATTTTATGCACAAGTGTTTTTTTTAAGGATAAGTACAAGAGATTGTAAATCCGACAACTTCACAAGCTATAATCACAATTCTATTAGAATTTCTGACATACATTCTATCAATGCTTTCCCTTACAAGAAATGACTCAGAAAAGGCACTATATAAATTAGCCTGTTCTAATAAGTTAGAAAAATAATGACTAACGTAGAATTATCAATGCTTCTGGGGGGGGGGGGGAAGACACCTAATTATACTGAAGAAGAGAAAGTACATGTTACATTTAATATTTTAGCCTTGTGTTCAAATTTTATAAATATTTAGTATATATTTTATAAAAAGTTTTGTGGTCACTTATCTTTCCTATTAAATAACAGATTAATAGCTTGGAAAATAATGTTTTGTATGAAACAAAAGAAAAAAGGGCAAGAAAACATCTCCCAAGAAGGCACAGCTTCAGGCTTTTCTCCTACTTACAGTTCCTGATGTGGCTTTTGATGATGCCACATGGCTGGTCTGATTTGCTGAAACTCCTCCATCTGAATCTATTTTACTTAGAATTTCGATAATACCGCCAGTTGATTCTAAAAAATAACAACAATAATAATGCCTTTGTTAAAGATGTGACTAAAGAAAGCTACAATGTGCTACATCAGCCACTTTCAAACTTTTTCATCTCCTGGCACAAAAAATCTTATTCCTAAAATTCCGCAGCACACCAGAAATATATTTTTTGTCAGTCTAACAAAAAAATGGGTATAATTTTGATTCATTCAGACCCAACAGCTTTTGTTGTGTTGATGGTTGCCATTTTTTTTTTTTTTTTTTTGAAAGTCTAAGGGAAAAAGAGGTCAATGCTTTAAAAATTCTGGCTGAAAATCACTGTGCTAGGTAATTTTTCCTATAGCATTCAGCAAGCCTGCTGCAGACTCTAGATTGCTATTCATGAACTGAATGTGTAATGTCAGGCTATTCTGGGGAAAAGTTGTGAAAGACTTTGAAATAGACTACAGATAACTGGATGTTTTCAACTGAAAACAAGACACTGTCCAACATGCTCTTTATAGGTTATGACCCCAAGGAGGCTCTGAGCTTTGCAATGTCTTAGAGCAATTTTAAAACTCTGTAAACTGGAATCCACAGACATACAATTTCTGTTTGGTGGAGAGACAACTAATTTCCCTTCTCTGACTATTGTCACCCCTTCTCCAGGATGGAACAATGCCAAGATTACTCCTAGGTCCCTGATCAAGTAGTAGCTCTGAAGATAGTACTAAAAATTCTTCTAGAGAAAATCACCATTCTGACCAGTGACTCCAGACAGGTTTTGGAAACTGCTGTTCTAAGGTCTAACGGTTAGTGAAGAATCATGGAGCAACCACATATGCCATATAATTCCAAAGGCTCTGGGACCTTTCTAACAAACCTTAGAGTTATGGGCTTCTTTCTAAACTCAGAGAAAAACAAAAACCAAACTACACAATGTGACAGGACCGGAGACATCTGCCCGTCCTGGTTATACTAATGGAGAGGATTTTTCCTACTAGTTCTATAATTTCCTCCCTAGTCAGACTGCCACCTAGAGGGGGGCTATTTAACTGAAAGTCGCCTTAATGCAGATTGGAAGTACCGCACTCAGAGTAAGACAACCTGAGTTAACTCTTGACTCAAACACAGAAAGCTTGGAACATTTATTTAGTTTTTCTGGGATTTAGTTCATCATCTATAAAATGAGCAGCGGTATAGGTAGGTGATCTAGATCAGCGGTCACCAGTGGTCCACAGACCACAGTTTGGTGACCACTGACTGCTCCAGACAGTCTCAATCCTATTGAAAATGTGAAATATTTTCTTCTACTTGTACTTCAAATACAAGATATATTCATACATATATATATGGCTAATATGCAAAGTGTCCCCAAGGAGTTCAACCAGGAGATGGGGAAGTTTGATTGCTTGCTATGATGTGTGCTGACCACCAGGGGATGGTGTGGAATGAAGGAAGGCCCCAGCCAGGAGCCAGCAGGCCCCGATTGACCCTGATCACTAGACTGGCCTAGGAACCCTAACCATGCATGAGTTTCATAAACCAGGCCTCTAGTATATAATAACATAATTCACTTGGTTAGCTTTTTCTTTATATTAGTTTTAAGTCAATAAAGTAGAACTTTGACATCAGAGGAAATATATACTTCTTCCTTTTTAATATACTTTCATTCATTTTCACTGATAGACAACTGCTATTGATAGACTAAATTTATCTCAAATATCAAAATAGAATATAGAAAATGCTACCATTAATGACATAAAAATTATGCTATCATATGATTGAGGGAAAGCACAATAAAATTTCAGTGTATTTACCTGCAGGCAGCAAAGTATTATTAAGGGGGAGAAAAAACAGAATAGTCATTTTTCTGATATATTATTCTATCAAACATTAAATATAAAATTACTAAGAGGGGGGAAAAAAGAGTTCTTTAAAAAAAACAAACAAACAAAAAAACCACTCTAATTCATGATCTTTCCCAAAATGGTCCTTTAAATTTTATATATTATATGTACATGTGAGTTATAGTAGAAAAAATAATGTGACTTTTATTGGTTATCTTCTTCTGTGGCATATCAAAGATGATTCAATAATTCAAGGTAACAAGCATTACTAAACCCTTTCTATGACTTCTGTGCTATGCTAGTACCAACTACTATAATAGTCTGCTTTTAAAGAAACTTACAATGCAATTAAGAAACCACACTAATTATGAAACAAGAGCAGTGAGAAGCAGTAACAATTAGATGCTCTAGCTGTATAGGTGTACTAGTTAATAATGCAGATTTTTTTTCAATAGATGGAGTTCCACATATGCTGATATATATATTAATGGAGAGGATTTATATATATAAATGTGACTTGATATATATACTGCTTTGTTGTTGGTAGCAACAGAGCAAGATTCAAAATTTCATATCAATTTGCTGAAGGGGTTAACATCATAGATATTTTTATGCTTAAAAATGTCAAATTTTGTGTCAAAAAAAGAGCATTTGTGGGAACTTTTAATTCAATTACTTTATTTTGAAGAAAAGTGCTGCTGAAAGTTATCATATACTTTGGGAAGCTATTATGGTGAACATGCTCCATCTCAAGATACTTGTGAACGCTGGTTTAAATGCTTTAAAAGTGATGATTTTGATGTGAAAGACAAAGAGCATCCCAGTCAACCGAAAAAGTTTGAAGAACAATTACAAGCATTATTGGATGAAGATGTGTGTCAAACTCAAAATCAACTTGCAGAAAGATTAAATGTTGCTCAGCAAACAATTTCTCATCATTTACAAGCAATGGGAAATGTTTTAAAGGAAGGAAAATGGGTGATATATCAACTGAACAAAAGAGAAATGGAAAACCGCAAAGTCATCAGTAAAATGTTGCTTCAAAGGCACAAAAGAAAGTCTTATTTGCATCAAATTGTGACTGGTGATGAAAAGTGGGTTGATCCAGATCAACCATCAACATTGACTACAAAGCCAAATCACTTCAGAAAGAAGACAATGCTCTACATTTGGTGGTATCAGAAAAGTGTGGTGTATTATGAGCTTCTAAAACCAGATGAAACCATTAATACTGATCGCTACCAACAACAAAAAATCAATTTGAATCATGCTTTGATCGTGAAACAATCAGAATGGGCCAGAAGACATGGCAAAATAATTTTGGTCCATGATAATGACCATAACACACTTCAAAACCAGTTAAAAACACGTTAAAAGATCTTGCCTGGGAAGTATTAACCCACCCGCTGTATTCATCAGACCTTGCTTCTTCACATTACCACTTGTTCTGATCGATGCCATACTCACTTTCTGAGCAGCACTTCAAAACATACAAAGAAGTGGAAAATGGGGTCTCTGAATGGTTTGCCTCAAAACAAAAAGTTCTATTGGGACAGTATCCATAAATTACCTGAAAGATGGGGGAAATGTGTAGCTAGCTATGGATATTTCTTTGAATAAAGCACTTTTTATGTTTCTCTTGAAATTATTGTGCTTTCTCTGATTACAAAATCTGCATTATTAATCAATACACCTTAACAGTTCAGCTACAAGAAAGATCAGCTTAGCCCAGAATATCTGGGGAGGTTTTGTTGAACATCCAGGGCTTTAGTTTTTCTAAAGAAGTCCTAATAAAAGGAAGAAGAGGCATTTTAGAAATACAGAGAAACAATGGCAAAAACAAAGTGCTAGAACAGCAAATCTGTGCACCAAACAGAACAGAGCTAACCCTAAATAAAATAGGCTTAAATAAACCTTTTTGATATAATGAAAAATCAGGTCAGGTAAAGAGCAAATGGTTAGATAATGAAGACTTTGAAACTAACCATCAGATGAGAAGTAGATGCATTAAGCACAAATGGATAACTTACCTCATACAAATGGATAACCTTACTTTATACACCAAAAAAAAAACAAAGGGGGGGGGGGGGGGGAGAAGGGGGAGGACAATAAAAAAAAACTGAAAAACTGACAGTGGGAGTGACATACATATCTTAAATTTGAAGAGTTCTAATACATACTAGAGTAAAAAATGTACTCTAAATAATTTTATGTGTCTAAGTCATTACAGTAAAATAGAAAGCAATTAAAGAATAAAATGCCTCTGGTTCCCCAGCCAGGACTGGACTGAGTGGGACTTTTTACCTTCAATTCTCTGGGGCTTGCTGGCATTTTCAAAGTCACAGATCTTTCTCCAGTTAGCCTTCACTGCCTCAGGAGTCATTGGCTGATTCCGCTGTCTCACAATTGCTCCAAGGCTCCGCTCCCAGCGCACTGGTCATAGAAACAAAAATAAGATAGTGAACACATAGTTTAAGTAAAAATCATAAGAGTCCCTCGAAGTTTTCTAACTTTAAAAAAGAAAATTCAGAAAAAGGATTCTAACTTCTAAAGAGTTTTCCTACATGCCTTAAAGTTGATTTTTCTAAAATGACAAATCCATTAAGATAATGTCAAATTTTTAAGAAAATATTTGAAACTGAAGGGAAAAACTTTTCTTTTGTATAGTATTATACAAAACACTACTAAAAGCAGGATGAAATGCTGAATCAGAAAGAGTTAAATGCATATTATCATGCCAAAAAACTCACTTCATGACCACAGATCATTTGGGGAATATTCTTCAAGATAACAGAACAGAGCTTTGCTGGATAGTACACCAAGTACTAGCAGTGGTATCAGATCAAAAAGTCCAGACAACCAAATACTATATCAAAATAATTCTCCCTTTTCCTCCCTTTGTTCTTCCTCCTTTTCCACAGGAAGTCAACTAGCATTAACAAATTCACAAAAATCGTTACTACGGCATAAGTTCCATGAGAATTAACATTGTTTTCTTTTCAAAAGACAGGGATAAATAACCCTTAGTAACTTATTTCAACATAATGGTCAGATTCAGATTACTATTAAACTAAAGATCTATGTTGGGGAATGACAGAAGTGACTGCTTCCAGAGCTTTCCTATTAATAAAGTCTCAGATACAGCTCTTATTGTAACAACCGATCTTCCTTTTTAAAATTGATGTCATAAGACACTTAATTGAGTAATATAATTTACTTTAATAACTGGAGAAAAGAGATGAAAATTGATAATCTACAATGCTCTCCAATAATGGTAACCTTTCAAATAATTCAATTAATTTTTATACCACTAGCCAACTGAAAACATAAATTGGGATATAAGAATTTTTACATTTCTGAAAATTGCCTTAGAAAAGCAATAATCCATGCTGGCACTCACAAGGTTTAAGAGAGGGTTGAAGCCAAATGAATTTACTAGTGGACTGAAGGAAAATAAATTTCCACAGATCAGTTGCAATTTCTGTCCCACAAAATTGTCCATGTGACTCTGTCTCTTGATGTGTCACGCTCCAAGGAAAAAAAGAACTAAATGAGATAATTGGAGAACTTGCCTGCTGTGGCTCTTCCCATCTTTTAAAAACCAGCTCCTCCTCCCTCCCACTTTCCTGCTGAAACAGTAAGAACAAGCACTTGGCATGTGAGAGATGTGGGAGGACATCAATGTAGAGACTGTGCTGTCTGAAGGAAAAGCCAGTTAAGAAGAGGCAAATCCTCAATAAGGGCTGCCAACAGGAAGAAAATAAAACAGATTCTTGAAAATGCTACAAATCCACATGACAACGTCCAGGTTTTAGAATACCTGGTGGTGTAACTATGTTTGAGGTTGAGTGTGTGTGTGCTAGATCCAATGGTTAGGCAATTGACAAGACTTTTATCCAACTCTAATTAGATATGCATGTTTAAAGATATGGAAGTAATATATAGCAAAAGAGACTTACATTTTCCAATCCATCCTGCTCCAACCTACCAAGAAGAGGGGAAAAAGTTATACCATCTAATGTGAAATCACTAATAAAATTCTTTAAATATAAAAAACAGGCAACTATCTTACTAAGAATATTAGAATACTAGATTACAAAGGATAAAAACAATACAGCTCTACAAATATCCACTTGTCCTTATGACTGCACTGTTCATGTTATTGCAGTAGAAATATAAAGTAGCACAATGCAGTAGAAATTATGTAGTAGAAAAGATTCTGATGTCAGAAACCAAAGTTTAATACCAGTTCTTCTTACTGACTAGTATGTGACCCTGGTCAAATTATTTGACTTCCCTAAAGCCAAGTTTCCACTTAGATAAAATAAGGATAATAATACACTATTTGTGAGGTTATCATGAAGGTTAAAAAATATAAATTATAAAATTGCCTAACACATCACAGACTTGAAATACATGTCTCTCTAGAAAAACCTAGTGGATAAAAATATTAAAATCAAAGAAAAATAAAACCAGGATCTGAGTTAATGAACTAAAGCATCTATATGTCATTTTAATAAAAAACATCTTTATGTAAAGGTAAAGCAAATGACCAAATATACTAACTGCCATACATAAGATAAATTCTTTTCTAGAGGACATTCAAAGATATTGTCAAAAGAAAATGTTGGACAGGAAGAAAACCTGTTTGCCATGTCTTCAAATATCACTCAGTGTGCCAGAACTCATCACCAGAATTCCACACATGTATGGAAAGAAGAAAACTGATCAGGAGACAGTACACATCTTAATGGCTATAGGCTCAAATGTATGACTATTTTTTTCCATCTTTTTCAAAGGTCTGACTTTTTAATTACCCTTTGCCTTTATATTAACACTAGAGGTGTGATGCACAAAGATTCATGCCAAGAATAGGTCTTCCTTCCTCCAGCTGCCAGCACCACCTTCACTCCAGCCCAGAGCTGCCTTTCCACTTTCCCACACTGCCCAGAGGCCTGGAGCAACTATGTATGCAAATTAGCTCACCATATTTGTTGGGTTAATTTGCATACTAATTCCTGATTGGCTGGTGGGTGTCGCAATGGTATGGTCAATTTATTAGTGTAGATCAGTGTTTCCCAAAGTGTGGTATGCATACCCCTAGGGGTACGAAAAGATTTGGGTGGGGGTATACGTTGCACCGGAATTTGGTGGGGATATGCACTGCACCGTGCTTAGCTGCGCCTAATTCTACGTTCTCATGAGTACGAGGAGTACTCAGCGTTATGAAAATTATAGAAGGGGTACACATATGTCAAAAGTTTGGGAAACACTGGTGTAGATGATCATGCTTTTTATAATAGACCAATCAGTCCTGATGCTGTCGAAGTACATAAATCAGCAGTGGTTTTGACAATATTCAAAAGAGATGCCATCTTTTATCATATTTTGGGAGTGAAGCAACAAACTACAAGCTCCTTTCATGTGTCAGAAACAACAGCTACAACTGAGCCAAATGAACTGTACCTGCCATCCCAGTCATCTATTAAGACTTTGCAAATAAAGTGGCAATTTACTTTCAAGGTGTAAACAAGATATCACACACACATACCTTACTTTATTTTTTTTACCCTCCTTCCCCCATACCTTACTTTATTTTATCAATCATACATACCAAACGTTCCTCAATAAAAATGTGCACAATATCATAAAATTTCATCTACCCAGGATACTAACTGTGTATATTTATGTGTGTAAAATGCATATCTAAAACAAGACTACTAGTATAAAATGTGCATCTAATAAAAGATTGGAAGAGAATGCAGAAGAATATTAATACAATAGTACCCTGTTTCCCCGAAAATAAGACAGTGTCTTATATTAATTTTTTCTCCCAAGGTTGCGCTAAGTCTTATTTTCAGGGGATGTCTTATCTTTCCATGTGCTAGGTCATATTTTCGGAGGATGTCTTATTTTCGGGGAAACACAGAAGTTATCTCTAAATAGTAGTAATGACTAATGAGTGTGATTATTTTCTTCTAAATACTTTCCTGTATATTTAAAGTTATCTATAAAAAGCACACATTATTTTTGTCTCCATAAATTAAATAATTGTAGAAGGTAAAAAGATTTTTTTAATTCCCTAATAAGATAAACAACAACAACAAAAACACACACAAAAAAACAGGCAGACAAATTTTGAGCTTGATATTAAATTTTCCTCCTCTGTAAATTTAGCATGGTAAAGTTCTTTCCCCCTCTAACTGTCCACAATTCACAACCAATGATTGTAAGTAAGAAAATAGAGGTACATATCTCCATTTAAACATGTATAGACAGCTTTTATTTACTTACCAGCTTTTTGTTCAACTGAATCAGGCTAAAATACTATTCACTTCAAACTGAGTCAGGTTATTTTGCTACTAAGAAATATTTTTGAATATCATTGTATTCCTCATACAACAGGTGCATTATTACTAGAGAAGGCGGGCGTTTATAAACTATATCAATAATTCATGCTAGAAAGGTAATAAGTGATCAAACTCAAATGAGAAAAAAATGCAAAAAGTGGCATAAAGAGATCTAAATGGACTTTTACTATGGGTCTCAATAGATGTTGGAATTTATATATATATATATATATATATATATATATTTTTTTTTTTTTTTTTTTTATTTTACAATAAACACTTAAAGCTTTGCAACAAGGAAACAGGGAAGAGTTTATTTATTTATTTTTAAATATATTTTATTGATTTTGTACAGAGAGGAAGGGAGAGATAGAGAGTCAGAAACATCGATGAGAGAGAGTCATCGATCAACTGCCTCTTGCACACACCCTACTGGGGATATGCCCGCAACTAAGGTACATGCCCTTGACCGGAATCGAACCCGGGACCTTTCAGTCCCCAAGCCGACGCTCTATCCATTGAGCCAAATCGGTTTCGGCAAGAGTTTATTTTTAAAGTTAAGATAAATAGTAAGTTTTGTTTACTGATCTATCACACACAGACTAAATTCCTGCTATACTAATATATTTAAACTAGAGACCTTGTGCATGAAATTCATGCATGGGGGGAGTGTGCCCTCAGTCCAGCCTGTACTCTCTCCAGTCTGGGACCTCTCAGTCCTGGATTGTGGGAGGGATATCTGACTTCCAATAGGATAGGGCCTAAACAGGCAATTGGACATCTCTCCCACAATCCAGGACTGATGGCTCCCAACTGCTTGCCTGCCTATCTTCCTGATTGCCTCTAATCGCATCTGCCTGCCAGCCTGATCACCCCCTAACCACTACCCTGCAGGCCTGGTCACCCCTAACAGCCCTCCCCTTTAGGCCTGGTACCCCCCAACTGCTCTCCCCTGCAGGCCTGGGTCCCCCCCAATTACCCTTCCCTGCAGGCCTGGTCACACCCAACTTCCCTTGTCTGCTGTCCTGGTGATCCCTACCTGTCCTCCCTTGCTGGCCTGATTACCACAACTGCCCTCCCTTGCAGGCCTGGTACTGCCCTACTGCCCTCCCCTGATGGCCATCTTGTGTCCACATGGGGGCAGCCATCTTGTGTGTTGAAGTGATGGTCAATCTGCATATTACTCTTTTATTAGATAGGATAGAGGCCTGGTGCATGGGTGGGGGCCAGCTGGTTTGCCCTAACGGGTGTGCCAGATTAGGGGATGGGTTCCCTTGGGGCATGAGGCAGGGGGCCTGTGGTGGTTTGCAGGCTGGTCATGCCCCAACGACCCAAGCAGAGGCCCTGGTATCTGGAATTTATTAATCTTCTATCATTGAAACTTTGCAGCCTTTAGCGGAGCCAAGCCTCCTGCTTGCTCCATGGCTGCAGTCATATTTGTTGGGATTTATTTATCTTCTATAATTGAAACTTTGTAGTCTTGAGTGGAGGCCTGGGCCAGCCAGGTTCTATGGAAAGCTTGGTTTCCTCCATTGCTGGGGAAACACAAGCCTCCTGCTCTCTCCGTGGCTGCAGCCATTTTGGTTGGGTTAATTTTCATACTCGCTCCTGATTGGCTAGTGTGCATAACTTATGGGTATAGCAGAGTAATGGCTAATTTGCATGTTATTCTTTTATTAGATAGGATTGAGGGGTGACTGCTATGTACTATGTACTAGGTTCTATACTAAGAGTTTAAAAGTATGATTTCTGGTTGCCACAAAAAAAAACTAAACTTCAGGGAGGTTAATCTGTACAAAATTCCAGCAAGCTAGCAACTGCCAAAATAAGAACTAAAAATCTGACCTGAAAGACACTGAGCCCTAAGCTCATTCTTCCACTTTAGCACTGAACTTCTCAAACTCAATGAGACTTTCTATATTTGACTATACACCCCAAACCAGCCCATTTTCATTTGGTAAGAATATCAGAAATGAAGTAAAAAGAGAATTTATGAAGTTGCAGTTAATTTCTCAAAAGTTTTTTAATTATAAAATAACCATAAGATTTTTAAAAAATCAACTGATGCTGAGTTTTAAAAATGTGAGCAAATGGAAAATACTAATGTTTAAACATTGTTTATATCTAATGACACAATATTGCTTTGAAAGAAAGCAGGAAAGTACAAATACCTCAAACAAGCCACCATTTTCCTCGCAACTCTCATGGCACAGCCACAGGACCAGGGGCGCCACGTATTCTGGCTTCAGCGCTTCCACAGCATCTGAAATAAATACCCCCCAAAAAAAGTTTATTAACAAGAATATGTACACATTTAAGCAATCATTTTACTTTCTGAAAATTTCTTACTTTTAATAGGCAACTCAGAGACATTTCAAATAACAAGAACAAACTTAGATGTACATAATTAGACTAACACTCGCGGCTTTTCAAAGAACTTTTTCCATCCCAATAGAGATATTCTTAAAGTTCTCTCAAGCTTTGAATATTAAATACATCAGACATACCTTTTCCAAGATAACACACTATTCAGAAGTCAGTTAGAGCTGCCTAGGCAAACACTGGTGAGGAGAGCTATGTATGACATAAGGAACTTTGCTACCGTTTGTTCCCAAAACTATTGCTCTCTTAGCCATTTAACCAGAAGCTAGAAAACTAAAAAAAAAACAAAAAAAAAACCACAGCTTGCCTTGACCACTGTAATGTCAGTGAGATAATGATATGAGATGAACCTTGCAACCGTGTAAGATAATGATGTGAAATGAACCTTGCAACTGCTTAAGATGATGATGTGAAATGAACCTTGCAACCATTACTGATGAGTAACAAAGTGTAAGAAATATTTTCCCATTGCATCCTTTCTGTGAGCAATGTAACCAAGCAGAAAGGTACCATACAAGGAGTACGAAGACCTGGATTTTACTGCTAGCCCTGCAAAGCAGGCAATTTAGGACTGTGAACACATCACTCAACTTCCCTGGACATGTCTTCTCAATAAGATGGTAAGTAAAATACTTTTCCTGCCTGTTTCATCAAGTTGTTCCAAGGCTCAAATGAGATACAATTTGTTAACATCCTTTATAGTCTTTAAGGAATAAGGAACACAAACTGATGAACAAAAACAGATCCAGAGATAGGAAAACATCGATCAGACCATCAAACCTCAGAGGGAAGGTAGGGGAGGGTGGGGGTTAAGGGGGGAGATAAACCAAAGAACTTGTATGCATGCATATGGGCCTAACCAATGGACACTGACAACAGGGGAGGGAGGGGGGAGTGAGAGCATGAGTAGGGAAGATGGGAGAAGCTAATGGGGGGATGAGGACACATATGTAATAACTTAATAAATAAAAAACTTTTTAAAAAATTAAAATAATTGCATAGTTTAATTGTGAAATTATGAAATATAATTTAAATTAATATGCTCAAGTAACAAAGATGACATAAACAGTACCTATAAATTAAAGAGCAGCTCCAAAAACTTTTCATTTCATAGCCTCTAAGAGTTCTCAAGTATTCAAAAAATCCAACGGTACACTGTTCTCCACTCTCTGTCATAAGCATGAGGAGAAAACCAAAGGGAGAATCCAACTATCTTAAATGACATGACAAAACAAATTCTTAACCTATTCAGATGTTTGAGTTGACTAACTTTGTAGTACTGAATGCAACAATTAATACATCAATGAAATCCAACTCATCAACTATTATCTTAGTTGATAAAAAAGGAGAAAAGAACATGTCACATAGGAAGAATATTTCGACTTGCATTTTATTTCACATATTGTCACTAATAATGTAAGTAAATATCCTTGCTTTCCAGTACTCAAAATACATTCCAAACTCCAACATTAGCTAGCATCTTAAGCACAATGTTTATTTTTATTTTATTTTTTATATATTTTTAATATAATTTATTGATTTTTTACAGAGAGGAAGGGAGAGAAAGAGGGACAGAGAGCCAGAAACATCAATGAGAGAGAAGCATCGACCAGCTGCCTTCTGCACACCCCCAAAGGGGATGTGCCTGTAACCAATGTACATGCCCCTGACCGGAATCGAATCTAGGACCCTTCAGTCCACAGACTCTCTATCCACTGAGCCAAACCAGTTTTGGCTTAAGCCCAATTTTATAAACAAAAAAACAGGATGAAGGAGGTAAGTGAAATTCCTCCCTCACAGTGAGATATAATTTTATACTCACTAGATTGACACATACAAACAATGCCAGGTTTGGAGAAGGACCAGGCATAGAAAAGGGTTAACTCAGCAGGCCAGGGTTGCTTAAACTTTGCACAATCCTAAGAAATGTCTGTCTTCAAGACTGGATCTTGGCCAACTCCTGAGGGGTGAGCTCTGAGCCTTTGGAATATGCAGCCTAGTAGGAGTGTTTCTGTAGGCCTGAGTCCCTGGGCCATCCTGAACCAGTTTGGTCAGATTGTTTATGCTAAGGATATGACTTAAGGAGAAGTCTGTTTGCTCTGAGGGGGATGGAGTCTGAGTGACTGAGGTAAATCACACAGGAGCTGCTTGCTTACATGACTGACTTCCAATAAAAAACCTAGACACCAAGGCTCAGGAGGTCTTCTCTGGCTGGCAACATTTACAGCATCTATCCTGGTTTCTCATGAATTTCACCCTGTATGCCTTTCCCCCTAGTTGATCTTAACTTGTATATTTCACTATAAAAAATCACAACCATGAGCATAACAGCTCTGCTGAGTTCAGTGAATTCTTCTAGAGAATTATGGAGCCTGGAGTGATACTGGAAAACCCCAACCCAACCATAGGTCAATGAGAATTCTGTAACCAATGATGAATATTACATTGGCTTAAGCATTTGAAAATTACTTAGCATTATGTAAAGTTTAGCATTAGTATATTCCATAACTCAGCCATTTTACTTCTAAGTACACAACCTAGAAATATGTGTAACTCTGGATACATGAACAAGAATGGAAACTGGAAACAAACCCAGATGTCCACTAATAAGAATTAGATAAGTTCACATAATGGACTATTACAGAACTATTATAAAAACGAGTTAACTACAGCTATAAATAATATAATCTTAGAAATATAACATTGTGCAAAAAAAACCAGAGCAACCCCCCCAAAACACAGTAATTACAATTTTATGAATAACAAAACAAGCAAATCAAATAGTTTTTAGCCATGTACTTATTATTTTAAAATTTTAATTAATATTTAAATGGTTTAGTATTTTTTAAGGAAAAATGGTACAGAAATGAAAGCAAATCATTTTCTCTCAGTGATTACATCTTGGGGAAACAAGAGGGTTGGGATGAAAGAATAACAAAGATAGATGTAAGTTATTGGTAATGCCCCGATTTGGAGGTTGCATGACAGCTAGTCTTCAAAACGGCCCCAGTGATTCCCCTTCTCTTATTCACCCCTTTTTGTGGTCCCTTCCCACAATGTACCAGGATTGCTCTCTATGACCACCAGAACAGGACACTTCAGAAATGAAAAGACACTGCAACTTCTGTCTGCTGCCTGTTTCTCTTTTTCAAATTATTAGCTCTTGGGGAAGTCAGCTGCAATCCTATAGAGAAAACCAGATTATGAGAAACTGGGGTCTCTATACACAGGTAGGAGGAAATGGAGACCTCCTGCTAACTGTCATGTACATATAAGAGGTTGGAAGTAGATCCTCTAACCCAGACAAGATTTCAAATGACCAGAGTCCCAAAAACTATCTCCATTAAATCTCATTACAGAAAACACCTACATTAAACCCCAAAACTTCCCAGCCAAGCTACTGAAAACTCCTGATCCCAGAAACTGTATGAGATAATAAATATTTGTTGTTTTAGTCCACTAAAGTTTGGAATAATTTATCACAGAACAGTAAATAACTAATATAACTGGGGAAGTTAGTTCATGACTATTCATTCTATGATTATGTTTTATTTCATGTAAGAAATATATAATTTACATACATTTCTTTCCATTTATCAAATATATTTTAAATAGAAAAAAGAAATTGCAAATGTCTCCACACATTACTCATAACTTCTTGTTTTTTAACAAATAATTCTTATAATAGCCTGTAAGTGGATATTTCAAAGGGAGTGAAGAAATATCTGTGCAAAATTAATTTTCAGCTTTTTCTAAACTATTAAAAAAGTAATAAAAATAAAAATAGGGTTGCAAGACAATGACACAGAAAGATCCCAAATCACTTCTTCCCACTAGCACACCTAATATAGCCTGCATACAGAGAAATTTCTTCTGAAGAGAAACTTGGGGCAGACTGAGCAGCTTTTGCACAACAAATGATATAGGGACCAGAGAAGGGTGGGCGATATGGAGATATGGTAATGAAGGGACCCATCCCCAACACAGTGGCCTGCATTAGAAATATCACTGAGGGGCCCTGGATGCAGACCACCCTGGGGCACAGTGAGAAAACAGCAGTTTAAAGGGCAGCTAGCCTATATGTGAGGAAATCCATGTACAAACCTTAGAGTGCCTGCCACATAGGTGGAGAACTGCTGGAACTCTCTCAGGATCAGAGGTAGCAAAGAGCATCATTTTTATGTTACTCCCTCCACCTTAATAGCAGGGGTTGGAGCACAGTGCAGGCACTCTAGCTGGCCTGCCACGGCCATTCCATTTTCCTGAGTCCCTGGCTCATACCAGCACCAACCATCCCCCAAAGGTGGCTCCAGTGAAGAGTGTCCTAGCCCCTCCCCGCCCCCGTAACCCCCTAATCTGCATGCAATCCAATTGTCTTGCCAGGGTAGAATTGGTGAGTCATACCCTATATTACTCCCATCCCATGCCTCCTCCGTGTCTAACTGTCCCACCAGACAGCACTAGAAGTACACACGCCAGCTCCAGCCATTCTGTCAAGACAACCAAAACACAGTGCCCCCCAGGACCTCCATGCCCAAACCAACTACAGCTCCAGCCATCCCACCAAGGCAGCCCCAGCATGGCAGTGACCTAGGAAACCCCAACCCACACCTGCTCCAGCTCCAGCCATTCCACCAAAACGGCATTGACAGAGCGCATCCTGGGACTCCCCAGAACTATGCCTATTTCAGTTCTAGCCAGCCAGTCAAAACCACCTGGCACACACAATCAATGCACTCCTATGCAAGACTGCTCCTTCAAGACTGGAAGAAGTAGCTGTGTTGTCTAATTCATAGAAATAAATACAGAAAGTCAAACAAAATTGGGAAATATAGAAATGCACTCTAAAAAAAAAGAACAAAATAAAACTGAAACACTAATTAAACAAACATAAGTAATTTACCTGATAAAAAATTCAAAGTAATAGTCATAAAGATACTCACTGTACTCAGGAGAAAAATGAAAGAACACAGGGAGAACTTCAACAAAGGGGGGAAAAACACACAAGAAAAAAGCCATCAGAGATGAAGAAAGTAAGTGAAATAAAAATAATAAACTAGAGGGAATTAACAGCAGATTGGTTGATATGAAGAACAGATCAGCAATCTGAAAGACATAACAGTGGAAATCATTCCATCAGAGCAGCAAAAAAAAGAAGAAAAATTAAAGATAGTTTAAGGGACCTCTAGAACAACATCAAGCATACTAGCACTCACATTATAGGGATCCCAGAAGTGGGCAAGAGAAAGCAAAAAGTAGAAAACTCAGTTGAAGAAAGAGTCCTTGAAAACGTGCCTACTCTGGAGAAGAGAGACATTGAGGTTCAGGTTCAGGAAGCTCACAAAGTCCTAAACAACATGAACCTAAAGAAATCTATTCCAAGACGGTTATAATAAAGATGGTAAAAGTTAAAGAGAGAGAGAGAGAGAATTTTAGAGGTAGCAAGAAAAAACTGACTTGTCACATTCAAGGGAAACCCGGTAAGATTATCAGATAATTTTTCAGTAGAAACTCTGCAGGCCAGAAGGGATATATTTAAAATGATGACAAGGAAAAACTTACATGCCAGAATATGCTATGGGGCAAGGTTACCAATCAGAATTCGAGGAGAGTTTCCCAGAGAAGCTAAAACTACAGAAGTTCATCACCACTAAACAAAAAAGGAAGCACTGTCTTTAAACGACATATCAGGTGCCCTTAATAGATATTGCAGAACCTTTTATCCAAATACTTCAGAATACAGTCTTTTCGAATGCAAATGGAACATTCTCCAGGATACATCACATTTGGCCACAAAACAAGTTTTAATAAATTAAAGAATACTGAAATCATATCAAGTGCCTTTTCTGACAACAGCATGAAACTAGAACTCAATTACAAGAAAAATCTAGAAAAAATACAAACACATGGAGACTAAACAACATGCTACTAAACAACCAATGGTTCAATAGTCTATTATTTTTTTAAATTATTATTATAAAACAGTAAGAATGTTATTACTGCATTCTGTAAAAAATATATTTATGTATATATGCAGAGAAAAAGAATGAAAGTGTATTTCAGTGTGGTATAATTATGGCTCATTTTTTAATCTTTCCCTTGTGCTTTTCTAAAATTTTTATAATGAACATACATCATACATAATGCTATTTTAAACTGTAGAAAAATAATTTTTTAACTATTCAGAAAATTAAGTACCTTTGCAAAGTTTACTTCACACATTTGTGGGTAACAGTACTGAAAAATCAAAGCTACTTACCTTCAGGCAAGATAGTCTTGGTCAGCCGTGATCCAGCAACAGGGGCAATGGTATTACAATGAATGTTGTTTTTCTGGCCTTCAATTGCAAGAGTATTTGCGAGGCCCAGAAGACCCAGCTTTGCAGCACTATAATTTGCCTGGCCAAAGTTGCCGTATATTCCTGAAGCCGATGCAGTCATAATTATCCTAAAAGAAAAATCAGTCCCTCAATATCATATTTGCTCTGATTTGATAATGTTGCAACTATACGTCTTTTGTTCTTTTCAGTACTATTACACCTGTCAAAAACAACTCTTATATTGCCATTATATTCTTACAGTCATGATTCACATATCTAAAATAATATTAATAATAAAATTAATCTCAGCCCTGAACAAGTAGCTCAGTTGGTTAGAGCACCATACTAATACGCTAAGGTTGTCCCAATCAGGGCACATATAAGAAACAACCAATGAATGCACAAATAAGTCAACAGCAAAACAATGTTTCTCTCTCTCTCTCCTCTCTCTCCTTCCTTCCCTCTCATTCTCTAAAATCAATAAATAAAAATTAAAAATAAATGAGAATAATAAACAAGTAATCTCTCAAACTTCAACTAGAAGATTTAACTGTTTTAAAAAGGATTCCTGTTTAGAACCAAATAAATTCAAGTATAAGAATGTTCATCCATTATCTATTGAAAACAACAATAAGTATTTATAAACTAGAGGCCTGGTGCACAAAATTTGTGCATGGAAGGGGGTGTTCCTCAGCCCAGCCTGTACCCTCTGCAATTTGGGACCCCTCAAGGGATGTCTGACTGCCCGTTTAGGCCCGATTCTGGTGGGATCAGGCCTAAACAGGCAGTAGGACATCCCTCTCACAATCCAGGCCTGCTGACTCCCAGTTGCTCACCAGCCTTTGACTGATTGCCCCTAACTATCTCTGCCTGCCAGCCTGATAACCCCCTAACCACATCCCTGCCAGCCTGACTGATGCCTAACTGCTCCCCTGCCAGCCTGTTTGCCCCTAACTGCCCTCCCCTCAGGCATGGTCACCCCTAACTGCCCTCCCCTCAGGCATGGTCACCCCTAACTGCCCTCCCCTCAGGCATGGTCACCCCGAACTGCCCTCCCTGCAGGCCTGGTCACCCCGAACTGCCCTCTCCTGCAGACTTGATTGCCCCCAACTGCCCTCCCTTGCAGGCCTGGTCCCTCTCAACTACCCTCATGGGGGCAGCTATCTTGTGTGTTAGAGTGATGGTCAATCTGGATATTAGAATAGAGACCTAGTGCATGGGTGGGAGCCGGCTGGTTTGCCCTGAAAGGTGTCCCGGATCAGGGTGGGGGTTCCCATGGGGTGTGGGGCCTATAGTGGTTTGCAGGCTGGCCATGACCCCTAGCGACCCAAGCAGAGACCCTGGTATCTGGGATTTATGTATCTTCTACAATTGAAGTTTTATAGCCTGGAGCAGAGCCAAGTCTCCTGCTTGCTCCGTGGCTGCAGCCATTTTTGTTGGATTTGTTTACCTTCTATAATTGAAACTTTGTAGCCTTGAGTGGAGGCTTCAGCCAGCAAGGGCAGGCAGAAAGCTTGGCTTCCTCTGTTGCCGGAAAAACCTAAGCTTCCCTCCTGCTCTGTGGCTGTAACCATCTTGGTTAAGTTTATTTGCATACTCACTCTGATTGGCTGTTGGGCGTGGCTTGTGAGTGTAGAGGTGATGTGGTCAATTTGCATATTACTTTTTTATTAGGATATAAAATAAACTGACAATACATATGTAAAATTTTAGTAAGAAATATTAGATAGCCGAAACTGGTTTGGCTCAGTGGGTAGAATGTCGGCCTGCGGACTGAAAGGTCCCAGGTTCAATTCCAGTCAAAGGCATGTGTGTTGGTTGTGGGCACATCCTCAGTAGGAGGTGTACAAGAGGCAGCTGATTGATGATTCTCTCTCATCAATGTTTCTAATCTCTATCCCACTCTCTTCCTCTCTGTGAAAAATCAATAAAATATATGTAAAAAAAAAAAAAAAAATTAGATAAAGCAGTTCTAATTCTTCAGTCCTCACCACTTTGACCTCCCATTCTGGATAACATTAAATACCTCATATTAAAATAATGCCATCGTATCATCTCAACCAATCTTACATATTTACTAGCTCTCCCACATTCTGAGTACTCACAAAGATGCAACTATAAGAGTTCTATACATTTCCTAAACAGTTTACCAAGACTATCTAATTTCTCACAAATACCAACTAATAGGAAACAGCCAGTCAGCTCTCCTGAATTAGTCACTGGATACACAAAATGACATTTTGGCTAGAGAATAAAGTACAGTTAAGTTCTTCATGTTAACACGGCTAAAATATCAGCACAGGAGAAAAATCATTAATAATGAAAAGTAGGAGGTGAAAAAAAATACATAAAGCTGTCCAGCTCAGCTAATCTATAACTAAGTGACCAATTTAATGAGAGAATATGTGCCAAAACTATACCTAAAAAGCCTACACATATATGATAATGTTTTCCTCAATATCAAAACAATTATCATTCCCTCTACACAAGAACTCACACATATTTCTAATCCCCCTGGAAAGTCATATGCAACTCTACCTTCCAAATTTCTGTTTCTTCATGTGATCCCATGCTGCCCGGGTCACTTGGAATGAGCCCCGCAAATGAACTTTATGAATTATATCTAAAACAAGAAATTATTTTTATTATATATTTTGTCAAAAATTCCAATACACGTGTCTCAGAATCAACATAAGCAATGATTTACTTATAAACAGATGTTAATTATAAATCTAGCATTCAAAATCAACTGAGTAAATAATTTTGCCTTTGTTCCAATTAGGAAAAACCAATCATACCTGTTTTCCCTATAATTATTGAAACCGTGTACATATCTAAATACAATGACATCTTTTTCCCCCCCAGGGGTAAGTGAGAACACAGTCCTCCACTACCACAAATTTGTGCAGACGAATTTCCCACATTTAGGGAAACTGCAGGGGTCAGCATATCCAGAGTGCAATGGATAAGCCTCCCCCTGGGAAAAACACCTTTGTGATCACGGTATTTCCCATAACAGGTAAGTATGATACAATGCCATCTTTAATTTATGCCGACTTTATATTTTTTAAAAATCACTAATTTTACATATATAGTTGGGACTCGACACAAACATTATTTAAAGCATAATAACAAACCACACAGTTCATCATCAAGAAATGTTTACAAAATGCTCACTATATCCCTATTTTTCCCAGGATTTATAAATGTGTTAGAGAAACTTGGGAGTTTAGGGGTCAGAAAATGAGAGAAGGAGGGAAGGTGGAGGAAGTGAGAAAGAATGCTAATCTAATGAATAGACAACCTGGAGAATGATTCAGATAAACAAAAAACCTGTAGATTTAATTTTTTAACTCAATTTATTTAGATTTAATTTGGTATCTTAATTATTAATTTTTTAACCATTCTTATTTATTTTTGTTTCAATCTGGGGTCTCATCAAATGTTTTCATGTATATGTTAGAAGAATAATGTAAGAGTAAAAGAAGAAACTTAAAGGGTAGGGAGGTACTAAGTTAGGGGTGGTGAGCTGAGGAGGAAACATCCCTGTTCAACTAGAGCTGAAAAGGAAGTGCCAACATAAACCCCCTTTGCCAACAGATCTTATCTTAGCTTCCTTTTTACTCCAACTCCTACAAGGGAAGAGGAAACCAAAAGACCTGCTTAAGTCTAGTAAGTCACAAAGACATTTTGCTTCTTCCAACAGAACTTGTGGCCATATTCCTCAGGCACACACTACAAACGATGAGAGAATTCACCTCGGTTATCATGCCTGCCACTGTCTCAGCCACCATTGCTTGTTTTAGTTCTGATAGCCAATGAAAGCAAGGGCAAAGAAGAGCGAACAGAAAAAACATTTTTCATAACTGTGATCAATTTATTATCTAAACTCAATCTTTCCAATGTGGCATTCCTATGGAAAATTTTCTTACTTATTAGAAGCTTCAAAATTACATTTAGGTTTTCCCACCCATTACTAAGATTTCCATCATTTTTAGTGCCCCAAGCTCCCTTACATATTCTGCTCTTGCTCTTGAAATAAGAATCACACAGCCAGAGAAGCATGCTGCAGGCTGTTAGAAAGAGTTAATACTGCTAGGAAATGCTGACAACCTCTCAAGGGAAAAACAAATGGAGAGGCACAAAATCCTTTTTAATAACTTGACAACTGATTTAAATTTTTTAAAATTTCTCAAATGTTTCAAAAAATCAGTTATTTCCAAGTGTTCATCATTTTCAGTTAAAAAGTTTATGCATTACTTACATTAGCAGAAGTAGATAAAAGCAAGTCTTTTCTTAAATATAGAAATTTATCAAATATTAAAAGACAAAATAGTCAGGTATATACCAGAGACATATATTAAAAACAACTTACCCCAGTCTTCATCACTTATTCTACTAAAGGAACGATCCCTCAGAATTCTAAAAAATTTATATTATATTGGTTAGAGGGAGGAGGGAGTATATAGTTTAAAAAAAAAAATTTTGTACATTACTTTACTAAAAAATGAAAAAAGGAAACACTCACCCAGCATTGTTAACCACAATATCTGCAATATAAAAAGATACAGGTCACAACTATTTATATAAGCAAGCATATTAACTGGTAAAGAGTGCATTATACCAGGGCTTTGCTCTCAAACTTACATATCTAAATTTTCCACCTCTACATTCTGCTAAAATTCTATCATCTTATATAATTAGCCATTGCACAACTCTTAGGTTCTTAGGATTCAGGGGTGACCACACGCCACTCCTCATTTAACCTCAAAATTCACTTAGTTAAAAGCTTGAAAGATTTTTCCTTACTACTCAAAAACCAAAAGCCCAGAAAGAAAACCAATACTTTAAACAATAAAGAATTTTTTTTAAAAAAGAAGCTGATGTCTTAACACATAATTGTATTCCTCTTATGAAAATAAATTATATATTTTAAGGTGAACCACCGTCATGTAACTATTTTCACTTATGACTTCCCATGTTTGTGGTCTGGATCCCTTTGTCACTATATGTGAACACATCTCTTATAAGCTCAACCAAATGTGACTAGAAAAACAAATATGCTTGACAGTAAAAATGAAGGAATACATTCAAATTACAATATATATATATATATATATATATATATATATATATATATATATTTTTTTTTTTTTTTTCCAGACTGTAAACATATTGGCTAGCTTGCAATAATGTTTCATTCTAGAATTTTAAACTTTGAAAAGGTATGGTCTGTTCAGTTGTTGAATGTAGCGGTGCATACTCTCACACACAATAACTGGCCTAGGCTTTCGAACACAAAGCTTTGTTGCAGTCCCAACCTGTCCATTTCTCTGATGGGTTTGAAAAAACTATTCCTTGTCTTAAGTTAAAAAAAAATTAAAAAGTTGAATTACTTAACATGTATCACAGATTGAGAGTTCTAACTGCGGTTGCCTGCATTTCTAAATAAATGAATCCAGCATAAAGACCACTGTAAACAAAACAAAAATGTTCATGAAGCCATCACTGTAGCTACATCGGCAGTCAGGAAAACTTTGTGCTTTTTTGTGAAATATCTTCTTATCTAGTATTGAAATGCAGCTTTTATGGGGTGCAGGATTGCTGTGAGAAAGGCATGGCTACACACACTAATGTGATCTGAGAAAAAAAGCAAACTCATTATATGACAACTTAAAGCAAAAGGATGAAGGACCCAAATAAAGGTCAAGAATTTAAAGGCAAAGGGTGGTCTGAAAATTTTAGAAAGAGGTTTGGCTTAAAAATGTCAGATAATATGGGAAGCAGCTTCTGCTGACCAACAGGCAGCAGACAAATTCCAGACACAAGTTAAGAAAATTGCTGAAAAGAAAGGATATCTGCCTGAACAGGTTTTTAATACAAATGAAAAAATAAATGCCACAAACTACATTTATTAGTAAGAAAAAGAGCACCATGATTTGAGGCAGGAAGGGATAGCTAACTCTACTATTTTGTTCAAATGCAGTCAGGCATCAGGACTGCTTTTAACCTATAAAACTGCTAAAACCCATGGATTGTTAGTACCATGAAAGCAAAGAAACATCACCTATCCTTCCAAAAGTATCCAGTGCTGTCTTCACAATCTTCTCTCCTGCTTCCACTGAATCTGAGGAAAGGGAAATTAGTACAAAACTTTAGTATCTCTTAAAATGATTTCTAAATTCTTTTTTTTTTTTATTTTAGAGAGAGAAAAGGAAGAAGGAAGGGAGAAAAGAAGGTGCATATTTAAATTGAAAAAGAATGTTCAACACTATATAACTACATATGGAAAAGAAACCTGTTTATGTAATACCAAACACAAGAAATGAAGCTTGGCAAAAAGTAGTTTCATTGTTTTCTGCTAATCAGCTGAGGGGAAGGGCTCATGTACCCAAGTTGTGCGTCAAATGGTCAGCTGTCTACTCAGCGTCACCACTGCCTCTTTCTATATCCTCTGCAATCACAGGGGAGGACCCAGGAAATAGAGTCCCTCCCCTAGGTCGCGTATAGTCCTGAGTTAGATAAGTCGAAAAGGGATAATCATCTAAAGCATGGAAAAGTAGAAGCCTGCATATGCAGGCAATCACGTGAAGAGATGTAAAACCAACAGCACATCTACCACCTGCTGCAGGCTGAGATGGCCATGGACAGTTTCCCTGACATGCACTTCCTCAACCCTTCCAATGGCTCTGTGAGCCTCTATTTCTCTGTACTGAAATCCTCACACCTGGAAAGCCTAGAGGGACTTCTGTGTTTCTGACCGAAACCTGACTGACACAGATTGCATATCAAAACTAGGGCAGGAGTAAGGGAAGGTCTGGAATTTTTATCTTTATAAAAAAATAGGTTTTTAAAACACCAAAATTAAAAAAAAAAAAAAAAAAAAAGTGGTGACAGTTTCCTAGATCCTTAATCTGGAAAGAAGATACTGGAATGTCTGTTCCATTATTTCTTTAAACACTCAAAATAAATCATATCCTATTTCCTTTCCTCTAAAATTTCCAAATGAAGTTACTGGTAATTGAATTTAATCCCTGACTCATAAAAGCAATTTAATTTGCAGAGAAATTAGTAAGTGCTAGCTAAATCTATTCAAGAAGGTCCCTTACAAATACTATTAGACTCAATACATCAAAAGTAAAGGTTGTATTTGCTGTTTTTCTTGTGGCTTCATTTTAATGCCTAACTTTGACACAAGTATTTATAAAGATAAGAAGTTATATATAGCAAGATTATTTGTGAATAATGGAATATAGAGGTTGAGTACAGAAAGGGGCATTTCACTTTGTACATGATATTACTGTTTTTAAATTTTTAAACAATTTCAAAAGAAAAATTTAATGGTATCTATAGAAATACATCTGACCTTTTAGCTACACAGGTCTTTTAAGAATAAGACCATATTCTTATACACATCTACAATAATTTATTATGTCATGTGCTCATTAATAAAAAAAATTAAGCAATAGAATAAAAGGTAGACATGAAATAATTTACATCAAAAGGGTTAAAAATTCTCACATATGATAGAAAATATGTACCAAAATAACTTTGTCTGACTTAGATAAAATCTAATTTCACAGTTGCACTGGAATGCAGAGATGTTTGCTCAATGATCATCAATGTGTGCAATAGCATTAGCTGAAGGAAACATTTTTAAAATAGCCTAATTCTCTCAAGTACCATACCATAGTTGGCCACTGCCTTTCCGCCTTTCCTTCTTATTTCTTCAACAACCTTATCAGCAGCTAAGGAGCCTTTACCAAGTCCCTTGATGTCCACTCCTAAATCATTCACTGCAATGCAAAAATAAACAAACATGCAATCATTTCTAGGTCTTCAAAGAACTGAAGTATCAGTATTAAGTTATCAGTTTATTTCTTTAGTCATCTGCCCAATTACATTCTTTCCCACCCTCATCTTACTGAACATACTATGAGTTATGTATTTTCAAAACATGACTCTCTTTTTGTTTGTAAATACAGACGTGAAAAAACAATAAAAATATTTAAACAGATTTGTCATAAAATTGTAATTGTATAATGCTTTTGTTTTTTTAAAAAAGAAAAAGAACATGAGCAAAAAAGAAATAATAGAAGAAAACTAAAAATCACTTTTAGATTAAACACACGATGACATTTATTTATTTCTGGGATTTTTCATTTAATAGTTTTGGTGTTTGACAGCACGTAACTGAAACTGTGAGAAGTAAAACCATGAAAAAAGGGGAACTAATGTACACTTAAAATTTTGTTAAAATTTTGTTAAGCGGGTATACCTCACATCAAGTGTTCTTACCATAGTTTAAAAAGAAAAGTTAAAAATACATTGTGAAATATCTTCTCTATGTGAAGAAAGTCTTTGTTTACAGAAATGGTGATAAAGAACAATCATGATATTAAACTATTAGAGAGGCAAGTTAATAAATTTTCATATACATACTATGCCATAATCTACAATGAAGCAAATAAAACTTTTTAAAAAATCAAAATTACATACAGAACTAATTTATACTATGTTCAGTCACTAGTTTATACCATGACTCCGTCTTTATATCTTTAACTAATCACACTTACCACATAACATCTGCCTATATCCAATTACATAGATATAAATGTTAATTGAGCATTTATTGTTTCCAAGAAAATCTACAGAAGAACAAGAGTTGAATAAAAATGGTACATCTTAAAGCATTTATAATCTATGAATATCATAAAGCACAATAAATTTTAGCATAAAGTAAAGGCCAACATAACTAAATAATAAGGCCAGGTAAAGTTAATTTACACAATAATTTAAGATAAACTTTATGAAATAGCATGCAAAAACTAACGAAAAGATACATAGATCAATGCCAAATATTTTTTAAAAAACAGAATTTAAGAAAAATACTTGGGACAAAAATTTAATGTGCATTGCAAAATGATCTGTAAGATTTCTTTGGAATATAATAAAAAAATATTAACCAGTTAACTGCCACATACTTTGAATTTAATTTAAAAAGGTCCGCCGATTGCGTCTATAGACACTTATGGTGTACAAATGGTTAAATAATAATGGCATGATGGAATATACTAAATTTTAAAATATTTTAATATTAGTTGATAATTACCACATCTGGGAAAAAAGAAAATATTTTTTCTTCTGAAGAATGGCATTGTTTTGTTTGTTTTTTGTACATTGGAATGAGAGTGGCAAGTGGGATTAGTTGGTAAAGATAATACAGAGAAAAATCAAATGCATATCAACACTTAAAATTAGCTAAATCAATGCGTTTTTAATTAACTTTTTTTAAGGGAATACTATGTTTTTCAAAATGTGGACTCAGACATATTTTTTCTAACAATATAGACTTATCATTCTTACTGCATGTAAAAAATAATAAAACCACAAACACAAAATAATAAAATAAAGAGGCTTACATTATCCCTCAAGAGATTTTTTAAAAAGCAGTAGTAAGATTTAACACTAAATTCCTATTAGTTTTTCATTCCATGCAAATGACAGGAAACAACCAGCAAAAAATATCAATATTTTAAGACATGAAGCTAACAGTCTTTTAAGAGCCTTTTTAACTAAGCAAGGGAAAGTTCAAAAGCAAACTGGCAAGTGCAATATTTAAATAAAGAATAGTTCAATTATGCAATGAAACACCACCCCCAAGTGGAAACTGGTCAAAGTGCAACCGCACAGGTAAGCACTGAGACCAATAATGTGCAGTGAAACAGTATCAGAACAGATTTATTCAAGATAAGTCTCTAGATTTGAGAGCATTAAATTAGAACTGATTTTTTTCAGTCATCTCACTATCACCAGAACTAAATTACAGGGATTACAACCCTAACTAGAAAAGCTAGTTTCATGCTCAAGAGTTTGGATAGAAACAACATTAAGATTTTTTTTAATATTAAGATTTATACTGTGTGACACTGTTACCATTTAAATTTATGGCTAAAATTATAATAAGAATAATTATTTTTTAAATACCATTACCACCTTATATTGGTATGTGTTTACTTGACATTTTCAAAGAACCATTAAGTACACTGCTGCATTAGATCTCCACACAGCTTTTTAGGACGTTAGGATGAAGTTGTTCCTCCTTTCAGGGTGAGGAAAGTTCAGGAAAGATTAGGCAACTTTGCCCCAGGCTCCAAGGCTTCATGAAATAGCAATATCCAGACCAGAACTCTGACCTACTACAATGCCACTCTGCTCCTCTAATACTGTAAGCAAGTTTCTTTTATCCTGAAAAGAAGGTAATTATTTCCACTAAAAAAAAAAAAATCATATTTGTTTGGAGAAGCTATAGAGGAAATGATAAATCAGTCACCTCACTCAAACAAATAGCTTTAAAATATGTAGTAAAAACGATAAGATGATGACAGTTAAGGACAGTCTTTTCAATTGAAACCATCAAAATATCCCAAAATGTAATATATATGTAAATTTTCATTTATATTTCTTACTGTTTTGCTTGTTTAAGTGACATTTTTGGAGTGTTTATCCTTCTTACAGATTTTTAAGTGTACTTTATAAAATATTTTAACTACATGTCATATGTGTTCCAAATTATAAATTACTTTATTAAAATGTTGAGAAAGAGAGATAATATCTGAACATTAATATTACTTTATAGCCAAGACCGGTTTGGCTCAATAGATAGAGCGTCGGCTTGGGGACTGAAGGGTCCCGGGTTCGATTTCGGTCAAGGGCATGTACCTCAGTTGCGGGCATATCCCCAGTAGGGGGTGTGCAAGAGGCAGCTGATCGATGACTCTCTCTCATCGATGTTTCTAACTCTCTATCTCTCTCCCTTCCTCTCTGTACAAAATCAATAAAAATATATTTTTTAAATATATATATATATATATATATATATATATATATATATTACTTTATGGCTTCACTTTACTGTTCCAATTTATTATAGGTAGCTCCTTCTTTTTCCTGTAGCTCAATGTTGGAAATTGGTCATTAGCAATTTCCAACTTCCCCACGACATTATCAAGAGGAATAATATTATAATGCTTTATATTTGAAAAGTGCTTTATAACTATCTTAACACATATTTACGTTCATATATTTGTTCAAGTTTGTTCAATTTGTTCAAGGGTTTGTCACCAAATGAGTCATATCTATTACCAATGGCATATCTATAAACTATTTTTATTTCCAAAGTAAAATGATTCTTCCAATTCTACCTTACACTGGTAGAAATTGGAATAACTTTTATATCTATTGATATGTAAGACAGCCTTTGTACTAGGTAACCCAAGAAGTGTATAAAAAAATAATAAGGGCAATATTATATTATAAATGTGGTTTTTTTAAAAAACGTTATTTACTTTTTTTTTGTTTTGGCTCACCCCCTCAATCCCCTTCCCCTCTGCCAACTGTTCTCTGTTCTATGAGTATGTTTTGTTTGTTCATTTATTTTCTTTGGCTTTCACGGATATGTGAAACCATATGGCATTTGTCACTTTCAGTCTGATTTCATCTAGCATTAATACCCTTTGGTCCATCAGTGTTGTCGAAAAATGGTAAGATTTTGTTCTTTTTATGGCCAACTAATATTCCATTGTATATGGGGGTGAACAAAAGTAGGTTTACAATTGTGAATATGCAAAGCAGAGGCTATTACTTTGTTTTTTTAAGAAATGCAAACTCAAAAAGTCCCTTTTTACACATCCTTTATCCTCTCCCACAGATAACTGCATTAGGCTGTTCCTTGGATGTCCTTCTAGACCAGTGGTCGGCAAACTGTGGTTCGAGAGCCACATGCGGCTCTTTGGCCCCTTGAGGGTGGCTCTTCCACAAAACACCACAACCTGGGTAAGTCTATTTTGAAGAAGTGGCGTTAGTTTAAAAAATTTGGCTTTCAAAAGAAATTTCAATAGTTGTACTGTTGATATTTGGCTCTGTTGATTAATGAGTTTGCTGACCACTGTTACAGACATTTCTGTTTGAGGACATTTTCCCACTTTTTAAAGTATGTTTTTATTAATTTTTAGAGAGAGAGGAAGGGAGGAAGATAAAGAGAAACATCAATGTGAAAGAGAAACATTGATGTAAGAGAGAAGCATCAATTGGCTGCCTCCCACACGCACCCTGCCCAGGGACAGAGTCCACAACCTGGGCATGTGCCTTAATTGGGAATCAAACCAGCAACCTTTTGGTGCACAGGACTATACTCCAACCAACTGAGCGACACCAGTTGATTTTTCCCCAATTTGATAAAGTGCCCTTTAGCAAACAATAGCATTAAGAATAATTTCATGGATCCTGGTTGTGTAGCTCAGTTGGTTAGAGCATCATCCAAATATACCAAGGTCGAGGGTTCAATTCCTGGTAAGGGCACATATAAGAATCAACCAATAAATTCATAAATTAGTATATTAATAAATTGATGTTTTTTTTTCTTCTCTCTCCATCTCTTCCTCCCTCCCTCTCACTCTAAAATAAAACATTTTTTTAATTTTTAATTAAAAAGAGAATAATTTAATTGATTTTAAATATATTTTTATTTACTTAAGAGGAAGGGAGAGAAAGAAATATCAATAATGAGAATCATTGATTGGCTGCCTCCTGCATGCCCCCCAACTGGGGATAAAGCCTACAATTTAGGCATGTGCCTTTGACTGGAATCAAACCTGGGACCCTTCAGTCCACAGGCCAATGCCCTAACCACTGAGAAAAACTGGTTAGGGCTAATTTCATTGATTTTACAACTGTGGGCCCAATGGGGATTTCTTCCTATATTCTGTTTTTGTACTTCTGCTACCAAAAGTATTTAAAGTGACTTAAGTATAAAATACATGTGCAAGGACTATTAAAGAACAGAAAAATTAACAAAATGTTATTGCTTAAAGTCAATTCCAGCATGTCATAATTGCAAGAGTTTCATCAAAAGGTTAATTGAAACTTGGGGGCTCAACAAGGGCTGAGTGACATGTGTAATCACCTGTTGGAATGGCTGGAGGGCACTTCCCCCAAACCTGAATAGGATGGTTGTTTGCTGCCAGACAGCTCAGGGCATATTAATCTACATGTTATTGCTTCCTGTTGTCCAGACATCTGAACAGCTGTAGGTATTCCCCAATCTGACCATACTTCTGTGAACCCTACCTTATGAAATGTATTATCTCCACCTTGCCTCAGGACAAATTTTGTTACTAAAAAGTAAGGGTCTTGAGACAAGGGAGACTTTTAGCTCCTTTAGCTGAAGCTCCTATGACCCTCAATACCTTTCAAAACTATCTTTCATCTCTGGATTCCTACTTAATCTATGCACAGCCTTTCTCCAGATTGCTGAACCCTTCTTAATGCTGAGACAAGAACCCCAGCATGTTATGCCAGAGAAAAAATAAGCCTACAGAAAGCATAGGCTAATGGTAGCTAATCTAGTTGAAGACAGTGTCAGGTTTACCCTGAAGCTTATTGACAGACAAGGAAAAGGGGGAAACACAGAGTTGTGATATCATTTTCACTTAAGGTAGAAAAATACATTCACCCTAGTTCATGAAAAGTCCTTTCCAGAATGGCCATAAATATTTGAAGGACTCCAAAATGTGGCAGCAGTTTAGACAGCAGTGTCTTAAATTAGGTCCTTTTCATCGATTTTCTTTTTCTCAATAACAAGAAGGCATCAAAGTTATTCTCAAAGGGAGAAGAAACTGTAAATGAGAGACTGAGTCATCCAGATAAAAGGAGTTTTAGGGTAAGGTGACCAGACGTCCCGCATTTGGCGGGATAGTCCTGGTTTTTGGAAAGAATCTTTTAAATCTTTCGGACTTTTTAAAAATGCCTAGGATGCAGGACAAATTGTTAAAAATCGGGACTGTTCCACCAAAAGCGAGACGCCTGGTCACCTTATTTTAGGGCTAAAGTAGACATGTTTAGGAAGTTTTAGGAATGAAAAGGGTCCATGGGAAGGAATGAGACTTGAAGGCACCAGAATTTTTATCTTGTACAGAGGATAGAGAAATGCCACACGCAAACAGAAATACATCCGGCCTAAGCAATTAAAATAGCCATAAACTTAGGACAGAGAGGGGTATAGAGGGGTATCTCTGGCCTGAACAATTAAAGTGACCATAAGTAGACCAAAAGTAGGCCTGACCTGAGAAGCTGGGGTTGGGGGGTTGGGGGGCATAAGGCTTTCTCTGCCTACACAATTGGGAGAGCTATATGTTAAATCAAAAGTGACCCAACCAACAAGACACAGCTGACAGAAGGTGAAAGGTCACCTAAGCATGAAATAATCCTGTTATTGCAAGCCATTTAAAGGTATTTGTTAATCCAGCATAAGCCAGCAAAAGTTGACTTAAAGGATAAACAAGGTACTCTATTTCTGAAGGTCTTGCTTCTTATTGGCCTAGGAGCTAGTCATAGATTTTTCTGAAAACAAGATTTTCTGATGTCATAACAATCCTAAGTTTGCTTATTCCTCTTTAATATATTTTGCTTATTCAGGTTTTTAAAAAAAAAATGCTGAGCAGTAGAAACCGGTTTGGCTCAGTGGTAGAGCGTCAGTCTGCAGACTGAAGGGTCCCAGGTTCGATTCCAGTCAAGGGCATGTACATTGGTTGCAGGCACATTCCCAGTGGGGGGGGTGCAGGAGGCAGCTGGTCGAGGTTTCTCTCTCATCGATGTTTCTAGCTCTCTATCTCTCTCCCTTCCACTCTGTAAAAAAAAAAATCAATAAAATATATATAAAAAAATGCTGAGCAGACAAAAAAAATTTACAGGAGATATGTCAGCATATGTGATACCCTGAAGCAAGATATCTGTGTTTTAAAGTAGAGTGTAGTGTTGGTCAGGAAAGAGCACAACCCATTTGTGCCTAGAGAGTTCACAGGTAAGTCCAATTTAGAAGCGGAAAAAATCAACATAAGTTTCACATAGATTGACTTCTCCCCTAAACCAAACTAAATCTGGTTCTCTCAGTCAAGACTGGCAAATATTTTTCCAAAACACACATTTCCTACCTTCTTAAACTTTCACGAGCACCTGCTGCAATACCATCCCTAAGGCAATGACCAAATAAATAGACACACTGTCCCTGTTTACCTTTTAGAACTTAAAAACTCCTAATCAAAATTTAACAAAGGTCACAAATATAGGAAAACTGATCCCCACAAAAACACACTGCTGTAAACTTTTCATAAAATAAGTTTGTAACCTAAAAATGTTATCTCAGTCACAACAAAAAAGAAAATAGAAATGTATTCAACCAATCTCAAAGACACACCAGCCCTGCCCTCCCCCCCCCCTCAGGGCCCCTCCTAAAAAAAGCCTCTGCAAACAATAAAAGAACCAATGAAAAAGTACCTTCTTTGCCCAAAGCAATATTCTAGATCTTTTAGAAGATACAGAAGATAAAACAAAGTCCTTGCACTTACAGAATTAAGTGGAACCGGTGAAAATAAAAAGTTATATGGTAAAAATATCAAGAAATAAACTGCAATATAAAAAAAAAGAAAGAAAGAAAGAAAAAATGGTAACAATATGTGTCATTATGCCATGACATGAAATATAGTGAGGAAAATCTGGCAAAGAGGACCTAAACTATACACCCACTAGCCAAATACAGTGTCAAAATGTGTCCTTGCCACAAGAAGCAGATCGGATTAACAGACATGGGCTATGATCTTAAACAAGAAAACTCAGTCTCTGTGTCCTTTCCATAAACATTGGTTACACATTCCCAGTGAGGGAAAATAATATATTTAATGCCCTGCTTAGCTTTTCTTTGTTTAGAAAATTAGGTTGCTTGCTTACTCTTTTGTTATGTCTCCAAAAAAAATGAGGGGAAATATATCTCCACCTAAGATCTAGGAAAACTGGGATTGGGAAGCCAACAATTTTAGTGCCGAAAAGATACTATTAAATATTGGGCCATAGCATTTGCCCTACCCACCTACCCTGCACTGAGCACTTAGTCAGTTATTCCCCACAAAGACTTGGATGTAGACAAATCTGCTCCTGTGTTCAATGACCAAATACCTCAGGCCAGTGCACACCATTTATATTACAAAAACCTCCCACCTTTTGAGACTCTTCAATGCAGCACCTTCCAACTTACCTCTCATAATAAATCTCAAGCTAACTACCCTTTCAATAAAAAAAAAATTTAATAACCTGTTGTAAAAAGCTTCCTGGTGAAAATTTTTGATTAAAGATATGTTTTAAAAGAACAACATACTTTGGATTCCCTAATTCTCAACTTCTACTTTTCCAAATGCACTTATTTCTTACTCTTAGCAATGTATTTACACTTAAGAGATTTCTCTTGCATGAGCCTTCTATATCAAAAAATGATAGCCCAGCCCTAACCGGTTTGACTCAGTGGAGAAAGCATACAGACTGAAGGGTCCCGGGTTCAATTCCAGTCAAAGGCATGTACCGTGATTGCAGGCACACCCCCAGTATGTGCAGGAGGCAGCTGATTGATGTTTCTATCTCTTCAATGTTTCTAATTCTCTATCCCTCTCTCTGCCTCTCTGTAAAAAAAGTCAATAAAATATATTTTTTTTAAAAAGATAGCCCACAATATACCAAATGCAATAAATTCCTTTTATACCATGAATGGCATCCCATCCTAATCAATTTTGTTAAGTTGAAAATTCTGTGAAAGTAGTTTACTTTAAAATGTAAGTTATAAAGTCGGCCTCAAGAGGGAGAGGGGGGATTTTTGCTGGCAGAAGAAAAAAAAAATCAGTAATAAATTTGACCTTGACACATTAGTGATATAAAGATAAACATGGCTGGCTTCTGAAGATTGTTGTACTTTAGCTACCAGCTACTGATTAAAAAGAAGAAAAAATGTCAACTTACCAACAACTGATGCACCTCTTTCTGCAAAAGCCAGAGCATAGGCTCGGCCCAGTCCTAATGAAAACCAAAATAATCGAAAAGTTGAGCAAATGTTAGGGTAAGTTTTGATCCACTCAACTCAATCCCTATTTTAAAATAACCAGTGAGCAATTAATTCTATTACAATGCCTTCAATAGTACTCTCAACCTGTACCTCACCCTCTTCTACCTGCAGATGTTAAAAAGCTTAAAACTGTATTTTCTACCCATCATTTCCTACCAGTCTACCTAGCTGCTAGGATGCCAGATGGGAACTGGATGCCACCATTAAATGCATTTGCATGAAATCTGGAAAGTGGAACTGAGGCCGAAGCCCCCCGTACTGTGGCTTCTAGCTGCTGTTGTTGGGGAGCTGACTTCTTGAAGCCTCCTAGGTATTAAGGAACCGTGGAGGTCGCGGCAATTCTTAATCTAGCTCCCTAAATCTGGATGGTGGCTTCCATGTTCCACATCCCTGGTATCCAAGGAGGCTATGGCAGTTCAAAAGGCAGCCTCTAGGGTTGTGGATCCTGACGGACCTGCTCGGTATTGTTCCAGGAGTCATTCCAAGAGGAAACTGCCTAAAATACAAATGGCTAAAGTTACATCCTTTCCTGCCCCAAGTATCTAGCGACTCTTCTATCCCGTCCTGGACTTTAATTAGACACAATCACCAAACACTTAATTCTCAGTCAAGTAGTAATTAAATGTTTACCTCCAACTCAAGGATATAAAGTATAAATGTACACATTCAAAAATGAATACAAAACCTACAGACGTTTTCCGGGCATAGAATATCTCGGGGAAAGGGATTTCAGAGGCTGACAATTACTGCTCACAGCCAGAGCTGGGCAGGGCGGGACTGCTCAGGATTTCATCACGAATCCTCAGAATGGTGCACAACTCAAAACTCCTGAAGTTTATTGCTAGAACTTTCCACTTAACAATTTTTGGGGGGTCAACGGTAACTGAAGACTGACTTGATAAGGATGCAAACTTAACGAGAGGACTCTCCAGAATAACAATCAGCGCCGACCGCCGTCGGACAGAGGGAAAGAGACGCTAAGGGAGGCACTTTTCAGAGGCAAAGAACTGACCCCCCGCCGCTTTGCGCAACTTTGAGTGAGGCCTGGAGTCTGAGGGCAGGAAGAGTCGCCCCCGATGCGCGGAGAAGGGCTCCGTGGGGACTTTCACCTCGTCCCGCGGCCCCGCCCCGCGCCCTCCCGCGCAGCCCTCGGGCCCACGGGCGGCTGCACAGGGAGGGATCGGGCTGCACCTGACCGTGCGGGTAGGTGTTCGTGGCTCCCCACGCCCGGCCGCCGGCCCCACCTCTCCCTCCACAACAGACTCGGTGTCCCGACAACAGCAGTTCCACGTCCTCACACCCGATCCCACCGCGTCCAGCCCCCCGCACCCCACGCCGCGACCCCCGGGGCGTGCGAGCCCTCCAGCCTTCGCGTGCTCACCTCCCCCCGCGCCTGTGACCACAACCACCTGCCCGTCGAATCTCAGCGTCGAGGCCATGAGTCCTGCAGGACACACACAGACACACTAGCTGAACCCTCTGGAGCTCAGACTGCGGGGGACAGGGAAGAGTCCGGCAAAGAGGAGGCGGGCGCGAGTGACCTGCCAGTTTCTGGGAAGGAGACTGACGCCGTAGTTTTCCAAGTGCGCCTGCGCGGAGACCCTTGGCCCTCTGGGAAATGTAGTCCAGCGTGCCTCCAGCAGGGAGGTGGCGTGGGGAGCAGGCCAGAGAGGCTTGGTTGAAAGCCCACTTCTGTTGCACCAGTTAGCAATAAATAGAAGCTGCTGGAACTTTTGTGGTAAAGTAGCTGACTTGGCACCTTGCGTTTATCCTTTCACCCGTTGTTTTGCCGTACACTCGACAAACGTTTTCTGGATTTAGGAGCTAGCCTAGAGATATAGGACGCAGCCCCTATCCTCAAGTAGCTTTCAAAATAGCCTCTAAGAAGGAATGGCACCCTTACCTATGAGTAAAGATGTCTCAGAATGTAATCTCTGAACCTTCTGCATAAAGTTCATCTGGGAACTGTCAAAAATGCGTAGTCGTGGACCCCAACGCTGATCCCCCAAAATAGAATATCAGGACAAAAAAAAAAGAAAAAAAAAGTAAACAAGTGCCCCTAAATGACTTTTGGTTTTGTATGTTGATAACAGTCCTATGATGTAATTCAGTCAACATTTATTAAGCACAAATTTACAGAGAAAAAGTAAGGTAATCCGGAGTTACCCAATGCCAAATATAAACCTTCAATAACAGGGTAAGACTTGTGGTAAATATGTACAAGTGAGCTAATGGTGCCAAAATAAGCGGACCCTATCCCTGTTGGGGAAACTTGCCAAAGGAGCTGACGCAAAAAGTACTTTCAGAAGTGACTATGCAAAAAAAAAAAAAAAAAAAAAAAAAAAAAAAAAAACCAGAACATTACAGGCAATGAAAATACTAGCTAGATTGGGGATCAAGGGAGAAGGTAAGGTCGCAGAAATAAGCAGTCTGTCAGATCACATTTAGATGTTTTAATTTAGTGCTAAGAATGACTTGAAGCAGCATTACTCTGGAGAATACATTTATATCATGAAAACATCGCTTTGCTCTATTGATTGGAGGATTGATTGGAGGTTGACAAGGAGAACTGACAGAAGACACCTACTCGGAAAAATCATGGAGGTCAGAAGTAAGTCAGAGGAAATGTTGAAGAGTGAAAATGTTAAGATATTTTTGGAAATGGAGTGAAGTCTTTGTGATTAATTGGATGCAGATGTGAGGGAGGAACAACTGAAACAACCCCCATATTTCTGGCTATAGAATCTAGGCTATGGTGGCAGTTATCAGAAAAGGAATAGGGGGAGAAGAGCAGCTTTTAGGGGGAACATGCCTGCGACTTGGGACAAACTGCATTTGGGAAGTGAAGGGAAGCTATGGCTGCAGATGCCTAGCAGACATCTGTGGTTTTTAGAGCTCAGAGATTTTGTTGTTGTTGTTTTAATATAATTTTATTGATTTTAGAAAGGAAGAGAGAGGGAAAGATAGAAATATCTCTATGAGAGAGAATCACGGATTGGTGCCTGCATGCCCCCTGACTGGGAATCAAATTCTAGGTCCAAGGGTAAGCCTGTGAGACAGCTTGGCAGACTTTGGCCTTCACACCCCTAATTCCTGCAGAGAAAGCTGGAGTAGCCAGGCAATGCAGCAGAGCCCAATTTCCACAAAGTAGATCCCAGGAGATGCCCTAGTGGACTGTGCCCTGGGCCCTTCCTCCAAGCCCCACCTGGTGCAAGCGCCCGGATATCCCTGTCGGGTATCTGTTTTGATTTTGTGTTGTAATATTTCCTCTTTAACCCAATGATCCTGTTCTCATGTTTAAAAAAGTAATTAGAAAACAAAAGGGGGGGATCCGTCTAGGACTGACTTGTTTGGTGTGTGCAACAGAAAATATTTTGCTTTCGAAGAACAACAGAAGAGTAGGTTTATATGCGTTACGCTTATTAATTTGTGCAGTTCTTCAGTGTCTGCAGCGTCACCCTTTATACCAGAAAATTGGGGGGGGGGGGGCATTATGAGGGTGGGGTGAGGGGGGAATAAAACAAGAAGAAAGTGGAGGAGGTGTTAGAAGAAGAGGAAGAGGAATGTGAGGTGGACAAAGTTCTCGATCGTCGAGTGGTAAAGGGCAAAGTAGAGAACCTCCCCAAGTGGAAGGGGTTCTCAGATGAGGACAGCACGTGGGAGCCAGGAGAGAACTTGGATTGCCCTGACCTCATTGCTGAGTTTTTACTGTCACAGGAAACAGCACATGAGACAGAGAGATCAGAAGGAGGCTATCGAAAAGCTGACTCTGATTCTAAAGATAAGAGAAAGAACAACAACCCAAAGAAGAAGAAAGAAGAGCCAGAAAAGCCTCGAGGCTTTCCCCAGGCTTTGGAGCCTGAGCGGATTATTGAAACTATAGACTCCAGTAGAGAGCTCATGTTTCTGATGAGGCTTAGCTGGTTCCAGTCAAGAAGCCAATGTCAAGTGCCCCCAGGTTGTCATATCCTTTTATGAGGAAAGATTGGCGTGGCTATCCCTGAGAGGATAATGACAAAAAAAAAAAAAAAAAAAAGACAAGAATTAACTCTCTTGAGTACCAGCCCCTGTCACATCTGACTGTGAGTTTCAAGTGGAGAGGGGAAGGAGTTTTACTTGTCTATTTTTTTTTTAATATACTTTATTGACTTTTTACAGATGAAGGGAGAGGAATAGAGAGTTAAAAACATCGATGAGAGAGAAACATCAATCAGCTGCCTCCTGCACACCTCCTACTGGGGATGCGCCCGCAACCAAGGTACATGCCCTTGACCGGAATCGAACCCAAAACCTTCAGTCCACAGGCCAACATTCTATCCACTGAGCCAAAGCAGTCAGGAGTCTACTTGTCTTGGTACCATAGAAGTGGTTTGAGAAGATGTTCTTTGAAGAGCCAGTATAGTTTCTGTGCCCTATAGCATTTAAAGCCATTCCATTCTGTATAGTTTGCACACCCATCTATGTGGAGGGGAAGGAGGATAAGTGTTTCAAGGCAATTTATTCTGCACTTTGTGAGAAAAGTGAAGGGCTTTCTATGAAGGGAAAAACTTGCAGAATGGGTATGAGTGAGAGCAAAAGGATACTGTAGATCTTCAAAGAGCATCTCCACAACCTACAGCCTTCTTCCCAATAGTGTTAACTGCATTTTGTAGCATGTGTGTAGTTTTTGGCTATTACTGCTGTATTATTTGGGGGTGAGAAGGATGGGGTAGGAAGGGAGATGAGTAGGATTGTTTTTACTAAAATTTGAGACCTGGTTAGGGAAATGGTGAAACAATGAAAAGAAGAAACTACTAATGATTTGGTTGTGTGTCCAGAATATTTTCTTTTTTAAAAATGTAATGGGCAATCTAACTGAGGACTCTTGAGAAACTGTTTAAAAGCTGTGAAAGCCTGAAATTTACAGGTCAAGGTGTTCCCTGCCTGAGATTAATTCTGTTCCCAACAAACGACTAAGCCAGTTGATAAGTTACCAAAGCTGCCATGTACCATAGGAGGAAGGAACTTAGTTGAGAAGGGAAAGTCTTTTATTGGAGCACATACATAGGCAGAGCATTCTTAGAGGTGCTAATCCTTGAAATTGACAAGACCCTTTCTTTTCTATCATAATTATGAAGCTATAGATATTAGCTTGTCCATCCAAGCTCCTGGCTGAGGTATTTGGGGGGAGGTGAAGAGGATGGTATAGGAGGTGTGAGAATAAAGAGAAGGGCCCATGTTTTTAGGATGGAAAAACTCTTGGAGTCTGTCTGTTTTTTGAACTTTGAACCCTGAAACCATTGGTGGCAGGGTTCAATCACTGACAGCACAAGTTCATTGAATCACTTCAAGAGTTGGATTATTTCAGAAGCCCTGGTCTTAGGAGAAGATTAATCTTTCACTTTTATACGGGTCAGTGGTTCACTTTAAGACACAAAACAAAACTTTTTTTTTTTTAATCCCAAGAATTAATACCCAAAATGCTAGCTTGACTTATAAAATCCATCAGTTCTTGATATCATCCAGGCCTACATCTAGAACTTCAATGTAAAATCCTTTTAGGCATGTGTTAGATTTCTGTGAAAACTTTGTTTAAATGTAAACTTCATACAACACTTTCAGTTATTGTTTTAATAAAACTATAGATTTATATTAAAAAAAAGAGGGGGGAGCAGTGTGTATCCATATTTTCAAGATTAACCCAGTTGTAACCTACAGGGAGGTGTCCAACCACAGACCTACAAGGGGAGTGAGAATTAGGGCTTCATCAGCCATTTCTGGAAGCCAATATTACACTTCTCAGACTCACATCGGGGGCCTGGCTAACCCCAGACCAAAGCCAACAAGTGCCTGGAAAGTGCCCAAATAAATCTGCCGTAAGTATGAATGAGAGGCAGTACAGATTTAGGTCATGGAAGTACAGTGAGGAATGTAATTTAAAACACTTACAGAAAGTGTTCCTATATAGTAGAAGTATAGATTATTTTCTCTAAAGGTTTCATCTTGCTCTCAAGTTCTCCTTCTTGGGGGAGGAGGGATAGAAAGGAAACTTATACTTGTCGGTTAAAAATAATTCAGTCTGTTTGGGGTAAGTGCTATCTTTCAAAATTTCTCCCTCCTTCCTGTCCTAGCCCATATGTCACCTTACCATAGAGGAAGGGTTGGCAAAGGTAGGTGTGGTCCATGCTGGCCTCTGCTTGTCCCCCCACCTACTGATAAAGTATGTAGCAGATAAAATGCATGGTTTATTTTCTCAGCATCATAGAGGGGGTCTCAGTGCTCCTCAATCCACCTGCACTGGGGCCCAACTCAAATCTATCTAGCCACTGACTCATATTTACATCAGTGTGTTGGTTTAGTTATTCCAAGAATCTGTTGTGTATTATATCTTACCCTATAAACTATTTTAGCAATTTCTACATTAAACATATTTCAAAATAAAAATTTATTCAAATAAAAT